TTTGGTCAAATGTCCATTAGCCAGTGTCACCTGGACCTCAGTCCTTTTGACTGTGTACGGTCTTCACTTCTTCTTCTACAGCTACTTGTTCTTCTTTTACTTTTACTGCTTTAACTGCTCTGGCTCATTCACCCATCAATTGTTCTTTTAAGGACTCCATCCATCCATCCATCCATCCATCAATCCATACATCTTCTACCGCTTATTTGTAATTGGTTGCAGAGGCAAGGAGTGAAACCCAGCCATTTCTCACCCCTGAGACACTTTCCAGCTCATCTGGGGGGACCCAGAGGCGTTCTCAGGCCAGAGAAGATACACAATCCCTCCAGCGACTTCTGGGCCTTCCCTGGGGTCTCCTACCAGTAGGACTTGCCCGGAAAACCTCTAAAGGGAGGAGTCTGTGAGGATTCTAATCAGATGCCCAAACCACCTCAAATGACTCCTTTTGATGCGGAGGAGCAGCAGCTCTACTCTGAGCTCCCCCTACATGATGGAGCTCCTCCTCCTATCTCTAAGGCTGAGCCCAACCCCCTTGCGAAGGAAGCCAATGTCAGCCACTTGTATCCAGAATCTTGTTCTTTCAGTTCTGATCCATACCTCATGACCATAGGTAAGGGTTTGGATGTAGACAGACCAGTCAATCAAGAGCTTTGCCTTTTGACTCAGCTCTCTCTTCACTACAACAGACTAAAGCAATGCCCTCATGAGGACAAGGCCCCAATCCATCGATCCATCTCCTGCTCTATCCATCACTTGTGAACAAGACACCCAGATACATGAACTCCTCCACCTGAGGCAAACACTTTCCCATACTCAGAGAGGGCATTCCACCCATTTCCAGTTGAGAACCATGGCCTCAGACTTTAAGGAGCTAACTCTCATCCCAGCTGCTTCACACTTGGCTGTGAACCGCCCCAGTGCACAATGACGGTCTTGGTCTGAAGATACCAACAGAACCACACCATCTGCATAAAACATAGATGAGACCATGCAGTTCCCAAACCAGACACCCTCCTCTCCATGGCTGCATCTCGAGATCCTATCCTTGAACACCACAAACAAGATTGGAGACAAGGGACAGCCGTGGCAGAGTCCAAGCTGAAAATGGGAACAAGCTTGACTTTGTGCCAATGAGGCAGACACAGCTGCTGCTTTGGTTCTACAGGGATTGGATAGCTCTTAAAAGGAACTCAGGCATGTACTTCCTCAGCACCCTCCACAGAATGCCTTGAGGAACACTGTCATAAGCCTTCTCCTGGTCCACAAAACACATGTCGACTGAAGAGGCAAACTCCCACGACCCCCTTAGCAACTCCACAAGGGTGAAGATCTGGTCCATTGTTCCATGACCAGGATGAAAGCCACACTGTTCCTCTTGAATTCAAGGTTTGATAATTGGTCGGAGTCTCCCTTCCAACACCCTGGAATAAACCTTCTAGGGGAGGGCGAGAAGGGTGCTCCCACAAAAACTGGAATATACTCTCTGGTCCCCCTTTTTAAATATGGGAACCACCATGCTGGTCTGCCACTCCACAGGCATTATCTCAGTCCTCCATGTAACATTGAAGAGATGTGTCAACCATGAGAGCCCCACAACATCTAGAACCTTCAGCATCTCTGTACAAATCTCATCCATCCCTGGCACCCTGCTACTGAGGAGTTTTTCGACTACCTCGGTGACCTCTACCATAATAATGGACTCAGCTTCCCCCAAGTCCTCAGACTCTGCTTCCTGAAAGGTGGACATGGTGGGTCGATTAAGGAAATCCTTGAAATGCTCCTTCCACCTCTCAACATTATCCTCAGTCTGGGTCAGCAACCTCCCACCCAAACCAAGCACAACCAGAAAAGGGGCTGCTTTCCTTTTCTAAGTCGTCAAACGGTTTGCCAGAATCTTCTTGAGGACAAGTCCAATAATGGTCAGTCAGGTCATCTGGACAGTTTTTTTTTTTTTTTACCATCCGAAAGTCTTCATCAGTCTGAGGAGTCACAAGTAAACTGTTTCCCCACCAAGCAGTACACTCCTTTAGTGGACCTACCAGTTTGCTGGTGAGAAGATGGATTCTGGGGGCTGTCCTCAGTCAGACTGAAAAAGTCTTTCGGGTGAAAGACGAAACATTTCTACATTTTTTGTTTTGTTTTGCTTTTTTTGAATGTCCAGAGGACCAGACTTAACTTTTTTAGATCTCTCAGGAATATTTCCCTCAAATATGTTTAAAGAGCGCAGCACGGTGGCGCAACTGGTAGAGCTGCTGCCTCTCAGCGAGCAGGTCCCTGGTGCAAACCCCGGTCCAGGGGCCTTTCTGGGTGGAGTTTGCATGTTCTCTCCGTGCATGCGTGGGTTTTCTCCAGATACTCCGGTTTCCTCCCATAGTCCAAAAACATGCATGTTAGGCTGATTGGTAACTCTAAATTGTCCCTAGGTGTGAGTGAGAGAGTGAATGGTTGTTTGTCTCTGTGTGGCCCTGTGATGGACTTGCGACCCGTCCAGGGTGTACCCCGCCCCTCGCACAGTGATTGCTGGACATGGGCACCAGCGACCCCCGTGACCCAAAATGGAATAAGCGGGTAAAAGAAAATGGATGGATGGATGTTTAAAGAGCTACAGCCTTTAGTTCCAACTTTATTCTAAACCACAGATGTACAAATCACAAAACAAGAATTACACTTTATATCAAAGCTAAAATAAAATCTGTATGAAACTAAACCACATATCTCAATTGAACAATTAAAGTAGACACAAAATGAGTGCAAATACATCAAATGATGAAAAAAAATATAGAATTTTAAAAATAGATATTTTTGTAGAATCTGGTTCATCAGATTTAATTCAGTTTATATAGCGCCAAGCCACAACAGAAGTTGTCTCAGGGCACTGAACGGAAATATTCATATATAAAATAAGTTGACAAAAACATGCATATTTAAAAATAATAATTTAACATTATTTATCTGAGGAGCAGACTGCTTTGAGTTGACCTCATCACCGAACCCTCATGGTGAACTAAAGTTCATTAAAAGTTCATTAGCAGGATTTTGGATTCTGGACACGCCTCCAGAACCCACCCTGAAGTGCGGTAGAAATCCAGGCTGAGCAGGGCTGAGTAATAGTGGTGGAAAAGGAGCATTAGCATTAATGGCACAACAAAAAGTAGCCTGACCAACAGCTCTCCTTGTGTGAATAGAGCATGCTCCGCTTCTCTCACGTGTCCTAGTCACATTCTAAGAAACACAGTGTAGCCTAAGTTAACTTAGGGGAAAAAAATCACAAGCCAGTTTGAAACAACAATAATCACTCCTTTTTACCAATGGTCTAGCATAATATGATCATCATCCATCATGTTTATTAGTAACTTAAAATACTTAATTAAAACTTCAGTAATGGGCTAGGTCTACTGTAACATTACCCAGTTGTAGGATCAAGAGACAAACATGTAGCATTAACACAGTATGAACAACAGTCAGGAATTGTTTCTAAAAGAACATTATCAAATATTTTATATGAACAGTAAGATCTCTCCGCACACGAGGAAATGTACCCCAGGGTGAGCTAACCTCAGACAAACAAACAAAGATAGATGAAATGGTGGAGGTAGTGAAACTCATGGTGCTACCTAAGGCATTTAGTGAGACATTTCTGCCTTATCAGCCAGCATTAAGGCAAAGAAGACGGGCAATAATAACAACAACAAACAACAAGAACAATGATAATAAATTCTAAGCTGCTAATAACTTCAAATAGTTACTGCAGTGGATGTTTCCATGACACAGAGCAACACATGGTGGGAACTCGCTGTGAAATTCAGTATGTAAGAGTGTAAACTTTACATTAAACAACCTAGTAAACACTTTATACAAAATCAGTTTAGTTTAAACAAAGACTAAACTTATGTAACCAGAAGTTACAACATATATCCACATATAAAACACACAAAACAAAGCACAATTAGCTTTAAGCATTAACATTTACTTTAACCATGAAGCATTCAATATAATTATGACAGAAAATGGAGGATTTACCTGCAGTTACCTTTGTACAGATGAACATGTGGTATTTCCTGTTTGTTGTATTCAGCTGCTCATGGGGTCGGCCGCTAGACTTTATTCATCTTTTTACATTTTTCCAAACTTGGTTTAGTTTTTAAAATGAAATAAACCATATTCACTCACTAAATGCTCAGGGTAACACGTGTATGAATAATTACATGTTCCCCTCTGACAACATTAAACCATTTTTCCACAATGATTTTCTCGGTGTAGCTCCTGCAGGTAAAGGGCATTTAACTTCAGGACAAATTGAGGTTGCCGATTGATCAGTTGCTGATATGCCTACTGGACTGATTGACAGGTGGCCTTGAGGAGCCGACTCGTGAAAAAAAAAAAAAAACTAAAAACGAGAACTGCAGCCGGTCCTTATTCAGTCAGAAACCAATTCTGATGTTTGGGACCTTTTTTCATTCAACCTTTATTTAAACAGATAAATCACATTGAGCCTCGAAGACTCATTTACAAGTGACACCTGTTCGTCTCACTTTGTCCTCCATTGTCTGGTTGGACCCATCTGTGTCCAAGTTCCAACCATGCAGCTGTTGATTTTTAAGTGAAGAGATTTGGAAGTAATCCTCTTTCATTATTTGTCCCACAGCATGATGCTACCACTTCCATGCCTGACAGGTGGTTCAGAAACATCACCTTGACTCCTCCAAACATCCTTCTTGTCTTTGTGTCCAAACAGCTCAATATTTGTCTCACTTAACCCTTAAAATTTTCTCCAAAAGACATTTACACTAGCTCAATAGCTGTAAAACTGGCTAAATTTTCAGAAATTTGTTGTCTGATTTGAGTTAGCTGTGGCAGCCATCTTGAATTAGGTTGAATCCAAAAGTTAATGCTTTGTAGATGAACATCCATTGACCAAATCAGTCTTCTGGTTCATGAGGTATTTTGCTAACAGACAGACAAACCCATTAACATCAGTTTGTTTTGATTGGCAGCAGGTGATGAGGCAGTGGGAAAAGGAGGTGCGCTCGGCCTCAAACTTGGACGAGCTGCTGAAACTCACAGATTTTCCTGACTGGAAGTTGTGGAAATGTCGTCTGAAGCTGCAGCAGCCGAAGAGCCACGCAGAAACCGTCTCCTCTCCGGCTTCAGTCGGGTCGCACCGCTCCACACGTTACGCTGCAGAGTCCTACAGCCTGGAGATTCTGAAAGGTTGGAGGAGGTGCTCTGTGGAGCTTCTTTGGATCTTTGCTCTGACTGATGCAAGTTTTTCTTCCTGTTCAGCCATAGATGAGGAGTGGCAGCGCACTCAGTGTATGCCCAGGGAGACGTGTGTCGATGTGGCCAAGGAGCTGGGCACCGACCCCGTCGTCTTCTTCAAGCCACCCTGTGTGTCTCTCCACAGGTGTGTCCAGCAGCAAATCAGATTCAGACCCTTTTTATCTACTCAACCACCATCACATCTTTTCTAATATTCTATCTGGATAAAAACTGAAGGTTAAACCGTAACAGTTAGGATTAGTCACCATGAGTTTGTTTCCTGCTGGCAGGTGCAGTGGCTGCTGCAATCAGGAGGGCGTCAGCTGCAGGAACACGTCTTTTGTATTTGTGAACAAAACTGTGAGTCAGTTCATTTAGATTTTTATTTTTAGCAGATTTGAGCTACAGAAACCAAACTGACTTTACATTTGTGTGATCGTGCATTTTAGGTCCTCAGTCTAATTCCCTTAAAGTTTGTACCAGAGCCTGTGCTGGTAAAGGTAGCCAACCACACTGAGTGCAGGTGCATGGAGCCTGCAATAATTCGCCGTAACGCTCAGCCTCACCAGAGCAGTGGGTGAGTCCAAAACAGTGACAACATTTCTCCAATCAATAACGGTATGTGTTTAAGTCTTTGGGTTTGTTGGCAGCTGTTCTCTGATGGACCAGCTGTCAGAGTCAGAGGACTCCAGGAGACTTTGTGCCACCGGATGGATTTGGGATTGTTCATCTGAGAGATGTGTTCCTTACACGTCCAGCGCACCAGGTGATGGAGCCAGTTTCATGTTGTGCTGCATCAGATGATCAAATTTTACTGGAAGGGTTGTCAAACATTTCTGCATTCCAGAGTTTTAAAGTGCTTACCTGTTCAACTGATCATTTGGATTAAACAATCATAACTGATGCACGTCATAAAAACTGTTAGATCCCCAGTTTGTTCATGCCAATGATGAATCTTCTTCACACATCTTTAGTGGTGGAGCTTCTCACAGTTCAGTGTTTGGACCAAATCTTTTCATAGATTCTTCCATGCAGTGAAATTATTAGCAGAAGATAAATCTTTAATGTTATGCCGATGATACTATGTTCTATTTATCCACGAAGCCTGACAAATCAAACCAGTTACTTAGATTACAAGTATGTCTTAGAGAAATAAAAACCTGGATGATTCTACGTCCATCCATTTTCCATTTTCAGAAAGCAAGAGCAGGAGGGAAACCCAGACTTCCCTCTCTCCAGCCACATTTTCCAGCTTCTCTTAAGGTATCCCAAGGTGGTCCCAAGCCAGAGAAAATACATGATCCATCCAGAGAGTTCTGGATCTTTAGGGTCTCCTCCCAGTGCTGTACGCCTGGAAACACCTTCAGAAATGGGCATTCAAACCACTTCAGCTGACTTTCAGTGAGGAGAACTACTCCAGGCTTATCTCGAAGGCTGAGCCTGACAACATTGTGGAGGAAGCTCATTTCAGTCACTTGGATCCAGGATCTTGTTCTTTCAGTCCTGATCCAAACCATGACCATAGATGAGGGTACAGATCTCCTTAGATAGAGAACTTTACTAATTGGCTTTTATGTATGTGAATGTTTCTGTAAAGTGCCCTGAGACAACTTTGTTGTGATTTGGCGCTATATAAATAAACTGAACTGAACAGATCGGTAAATCCAGACCTTTGCCTTTCAGCTCAGCTCCATCTTCATCACAAATGACCAGAACAATGCACTTGTCCTTTGATTCTTCTCCATCCTTCCATTCCTCAGGAACAAGACTCCTAGAATAACTCTCCCCTGACCCATAAAGTTCATTCCACACCTAATTATCTGTTTTTATGTTCAAACAAAACATGGGTTGGGTTTTGTGAACCTGAGCATCTTATAAACAAGCCTTGCAGTTGTTCACTTCCTCTGGACCCAAACGAGACGAAAAGTAAATTTTAGTATTGCCTTCCTCTGGGTGGCAGTACATTGTCCTGCAGTTCTAACCTGAAGAAACTTGGTGTTATTTTTGATCTAGATATAAAACTAAGAGAACCACCTTCTTCCACTTGTGTAACGTTGCTTAAATCAGGATTCATAGTGAAATAAAAATGAGGATCTAGTCAAATCTACATTTTCAGATGGCTGTAAAGGCCAATCCTTGATTCACATATTCTGTTACAGTGAGGGCATGTATGAATGATTGTCCTTGGTGTGGTAATTTGAGGGACTCTTCTGGAAACCCCTTTTTGCCTCAGCAGCACAGTGGAGGTCCCTTTCCAGGTGTTGTGTTGTAATGGATCATCTTCCTCCACGTGTCTCTATTTAGAGAAGCCTCCTCCCAGGTGTTAAGGTCAAAGCAACTGGTTTTTAAATGTTGTTCTTGTACCTCTTCTGCCCTCCTGGTGTTTGTTTCCCTTCCAGGGATGGAGCTGGCCATCAAGACGTTGTTTCAGGCGTTTGTGTAACGTGACCTGTTCTTTGTAACTGGTGTTGAATGATGATTGTGGTGATGCTGGGCATCACTGCTACAAAGCTCTCAACAGTCTAGCTCCATCTTATATTACAGATCTTATTGTTCCATATTTTACTAACAGAGCACTTCACTCTCAGTCTGCAAGTTTACTTGTGGTTCCTAGAGTTTGTAAAAGCAGAATGGGAGCTTTCAGTTCTCAGTCTCTTCTCTTGTAAAACCAACTCAGTTTCTTGTTTTGTGCAGAACTTCCTCTCAGTCCCTGGATGCCGGACTGTGAGATCGACGTGGACCGCTGCGACTGCCTTCCCAGACCAGAACCCCTCCTGCAGCCCAAACCGGTCCACCGCTGCCATCTCAACTCCTCCATCTGCACCCACAGACATCAACGCTTTGACAAAGCCTCGTGTCGGTGAGTCAGACGGCTTTTTAAAAACTTCTGTTTATGGATCTGTCCTGATGTGAAAAGTTTTTACTATGATGCTCCTAATAACACCACCATTTGATTTGATATTAGATATTTTATGTCTAATTTGCTGCCTTTAATTGCTTTATACTGTATAAGAACATGTGCCTTTATAGAGTTTTTCACACTAATAAACAAAATTTAAAACCATGAACCTCTTTTCTCTTCAGATGCAGACTGCATAAGTAGAGATCGGATAAAAGACGACAAGCTGCTCGCCACAGAACAGTGAAATAAATAAATCCTATAATTTATTTACAGCCTATTTATGGAGACCACTTTGATTCTATTAACTCACTTGACCATGTTAATTGAGTCTTATTAACAGGCCTGCATTAGTTTATAAAGAATGTTTAAATTTTGTGAATTGTATGTGTTCCTTGTGTACTGAATGTGTAGTTTATGATTAAAGGTTATTTTTATAACTCAGAGTTGTTATAATGGTATAGATTTTTCCTCTCAAAGATATTTAAGAATAAAATTCACTTTAACTTACAGCTGTTGGAGTAACAAAATTAATTATTCCTTTAGATATTAATTTAAATGAGCTAATTAAGATTTTTTTTAAGAATTAAAGTGATTTATTTAAGAAATTAGTTGTTAACCCTCCTGCTGCCCTTGGGTCAAAATGACCCACAAAGCATAAAATGAAGACCTTGTTGGTCATTTTGACCCAAGGGCAGCAGGGGGTTAAACAAAATATCTTGTTTTGCCAATTCAGAAAGAAAACCAACTAAGTCCAGACTATTTTGCTAACAGACAGCATTGAATGAAACGAATGTCACATCATTTGTTAGCACTCAAGAGTATGTGTTGGAGATAACTCTCAGCAACTCTCATGCTGAAGCTCTGTTTACACAACACATTTTTTGAGTGAAACCAGCGCTTTTCTGCCACCGTTCAGCTGCTCATGTACACGACAACAGCGCATGTTCCCTCTGAAACTGAAGGTTTCTGAATCCAGAGTGGAGGCGTTTGTCAAATACTCCGCAGGTGTGAAGTCGTCCTCCAGGCGGCTGCGCTCAGAAGTTGTTCTGCTCTAACAACCGTTACAGTTAATGGTAGAGAGCAGAGGGTTGTTTGTGCTTCTCGCCATTTTTCAGGAGCAAACCAACAACATCCTTGGTCCAGAGGAACGTTCCTGTGATCATGCACTACAGTTAAGCCCAGGATCAGGGTTGCCAGATAAACACAAATATGTTTATTTTACCCCCTCCTTTTCTGTGCTCGAGTTTACCAAACACACACCTCATCTTACAACACAGTCACTCAGCACATAGGACAGTTTGGGTCAAAATATAATAGTTTTAACGTGGCAGTTCACCATTTCTTATCTGGCAACCCTGCCTAGCATGGAAACTACATTTGTTCCATGTAAACGCATCTTTTTCTTGTTTATTCGCCTCAGTAAATATTAGAAAAACACTGACGGCTTCCAGAGAGTGTTCTTGTGTGAACAGGGCCTGAATTTCAGCTGGATACCTTTAAAACTGACTTGAGTTACTGTGTAGCCATTTTAGGTTCCCATAATGACCGAATGGGTGACCTGGTACATCTGGACCATAGAAACCACTTCTGGACAATAGAAACTACACCTGGACCATGTAAACCACACTTTCAATATGGAAACCACACTTGGACCAGAGAAACTACACCTGGGCTAAAAACAAATAAAAAATCCTGCTGGAAAAAAAAAAATTGAACTGTTAGACCTTTGACCCTTGTCTATGCTAATGGATCGTATTTGTGACTTTTTTTATTTATTTTTTATTAAACAATCAGTGCTGAGCCGTACCTGCAGCTCTGACGTATATTTAGATTGACAGCTGTCATGTTTTTGTTTATCTGACAATAGCTTGTATAAAACAATACAATACTGTAATATCATGTAAGAAAAGACACAATGGTTAAACTGAAATAAAGACTGATGAAAACATTAAGACTAATGAAGACTGATTAAAGTTAAAGTGGAATGAAATGAACATCTGCAGTGCTCACTGAAGGCCGCAGTTTGAAAACATGTTTTAGCTAATGAAACATTTAAAGAGAACCTCACTGGTCCCTCCCACTTTGGACTGGACCAGGTCTTTTTCTTTGAGACTTTGAGGAATGTCCGATCACCTGATGCCACAGCTGCGGCTCCAGGTTCCTGAGGATCTGTAGGGATGAGATTAGCAGAAAATCTTTCTCGTTTGTTCAGCGAGTGTCTCGTCAGCTTCTTCACTGTCTTACAAAAAGCTGTCAGTTGTGGAGTGACATAAGGCCTCCACTGCACCTGCAGCCTTTCAAAAGGTGTCAGTCCGGTTGGTTTGGGTGTAACAACAGCATTCACAACGTTTGTACCACTGTTACCGTAGCTCTGCTCCAGGATCACATCTATAATGTCTCCTAGTACTTTTTCAACAGTCGGTGCATCAGGATGAGTCCAACGGAAAGCTTCCATACATTTTGACTAGGCATCAATTATTGTTGGACAACATCTATTTCCTTCAGATTTGTTTGATAAAAAAATCGATGTGCATAATTGCTTGAGAAGGAGCTTGTGGAGATTGTCCTGTTTTAGGAGTTTTGTCCACAGCAGGTTGTTTTTAACACAGATCAGTCATCCTGAACAAAAAGTATTTGCCTAAGTTGTAAACCGACGCTCTTTGTAAAACCACTGCATTCATCCCACCTGTTGAAACATGCACCATCCCATTAGATGCAGCACAGCAACACACATTTTTAGGCAAGTCAAGCTTATTTCAGGACTGTAATACGGTCCATCACGTCCATCGTTGTCTTCTTCTTTCGGCTTTTCTCTCTTCAGGAGTCGCCACAGTGAGTCATCCTCTTTCATAATTTCCGCCGGCACCCTGTTTATCAACAGCACCGTTGTGCTCCACATATGTTCCCAAAATCATTTTAGTTTTTTGGAGTTATTTTGCACGTCCCTTGAAATGACTAAATCCATTTCAGATGATGTTTCAACGAGAGTCATGCATGGTATTTTTAGTTGTGCAGATTGCTTTTCAGCAACGTCAACTCTGCAGTTTCCGCCTGAAAGTGGATCACTTCCTGCTGCTGTGTGAGCCGCACACTTCCAGTCTGACGAGCTGTTTTTGCAGTGCAACAGCATCCAGGAGAGTCTCAATCAAGGTTTTGGGATATTTGTCTTTTCCTGTGGATGTACCTATATCTCTGTTCTTCCATTGCTGTGCAAAAACAAGTACCGGTACTGTTGCAAAGACATATTGACCGTCAGCGTAAATAATAACAATGTTACCTGCAGCAAGTTTACACCCTTCTGTCAGAGCTGAACGCTGCAGTTTGGACAGAGAGGTGTGACACTTTCCAAACTCTGAGAGTTTCCTTCAGGTTCACAACAGACATGTCTACAGTTGTGACGTTAGAGCTGTCATTTCTAACCTGGGCCTGCCGCCCGGCCCAGCCCGGCCCGAATTGCCAAAATAATGTGCTGGATGGACGGGCCGGGTCGGTGTCAGGCTTTTGACTGCGTCAGCGGACACATGCGGCTGACAACCCAGTGTGGATCATCAGCCATGCACATCTGCCAATCGTTAATAACTATAATATTATAATAATCCATTGACTCTTTTTAATGAACAAGAAATCTTATATCTTCCTTTCTTTGAAATATGTTTTTAAATCATGTCCAACTGATTTGCTCACAAAAGCAGTAAAAGCTAAATAATAAAAAAAATAATAATAATCCAGGTTCGGGCCTGTATTCACAGTTAATTGGTCGGTTTTGGGTCAGGCTTGGAAAAAATGATATGGGTTTGGGCCGGGTCGGATTTTTTAGGCTCGAATGCAACTCTAGGTGACGTGCAAATGAAGCAACGAACCTGACCCACTTCAATTGTTCTGAAAATAGCTTCATTCGTTCAATGCTTTGTTTCAGTCACATCGAGTGGCAAACCAGGACATATGAAAACAACGTGTCGTTAATTATGTGACGAATGAAACAGGGGTCTGTGTGAACGATGTAAGATTTGTAAACATTGATTGATTGATCGGTTGATTCTGTAAATGTTGGGATAAGTCATGCTGAAGATAAGTGAGATGTGCTGGAATGTTAGGTCTGCTTACGTAACTATTTTTATTAAGAAATAATATTTTTTACAGTTTGTTTTTTTTGGCTAACAATTTCTCCAGCTTTTGAGGATGCTCATCGACACAGCACTCGTTGAGATCAGCTCCTTCAGCTGGGCTGTGGTCGGTGCGTAAAAATCCAGATTCTGCAGAAGCTGATCAACCCAAAAATGACATCATTTGTTTCTTTATCCAGTTCAGCTGCCTGCAAAACTGCAGTTTTTCAGTTTTCATCAAGATGTCTGCCTTCATTGTAGTCCAAATATTTAACCATCTCTCTGTAAAACTAGTTTTTGTTTTCTTGTTGTTTGAAAGTTTTTAAAATAATTTTCACCTTTGAGAGCCGTACATTTTTCAGCACGTAATAATTTCTGCAATTTTTGTTCTAGTTCAACATTTCATGTCACAAAACCTTCGGCTCATTCCGGACATTCCTGCTGGCACATCTGCTGTTTGTGCAGTTTTTACTTTTTGAACTATTCAGCTTTGTCGGCCATGTTTTCCTCATTGAAAATGAACGGCGCTCTCTTCACATCCTTCAAACCCTTTAGCTGTTTACAACTTTTACTGCTTGTTTCTGCTCTTTCCACTTTTTATGTTTTTTCTGCCAATTTTATCCTTTTGTTGGCTGCACAGCTTTTCTAGCAATAATTGATTTTGCATCAAACAGCTTTTACTACATTTATGTAAACAATTTTAGGCAACACAGCTTTATTATTATTTTTATTTTTTACAATATATGGCGACTTGTTTCAGGCAGCACAACTTTCTCTACGATTCTCACATCTGGCTCGTGGTTTCCCTCTGCTTTTGTCTGCAGAGAGAAAGAAACTTGAAACAACAATAAGCTGAATGCAAACAACTACCAATGGCCATCACTAAAAGAGAATTTAAATATACTTATTCTGGATGTTTACTAGAAAGATCTCATCAGGTGGATTGTTTTAAATTGATAACTGCCACAGTTTGGGCTACAGAACGTAGAACTTCACAGCTAAAAGTTGAGAAAATAGGATTACTGAGACTTCCGAGGGTTCAAAGGGAGAGATATCCATGAAATACCTCGTATACTGGCAGTGAAACATCAATTCAAGGTCCAAACAGAAACAACCAGGTCTCATTGGAACATCTATAATCCAGACTAAAAGCTTGAGAGCTTCTGAAATGTCTGATCAGATTGTTAGAAAAAAAATCAAATTAAGGGCACAAAGAAGTCTGAAATCACGATGCTGTGGAGCGATTGGACAAACCAGGAAAAGAAGACTCAGCTGCTTGTTGACGTCTTTAATTCAGATTATACAGGAACAAATGAAGGTCGTTCTTCAAGGATTAAAATATTGTTTAAACGTTGAGCAAATAATCTGTGAGCGTGATCTAACAACAGAAACAGCTCTGTTAACCTTCTGCGTGTCACAAAATGTCACGATGAACCAATAATAAAAGAAGAAAAGCTGCACAAAATGTTTGTATTTATCTTGCAGCCGAAGGCGAGCGAGTCACCACAGGAGGCCAAACCACGAACGCAAAACAAAGAGCTTCAGCTCCAGATGCTCAGCATGTCAGAAAATACAACAAGACAACACTTCAGATAAAAAAACCTGAGAGAACAAACAGAAACACTTGCATGCTGAAGATGCTGAAAGCTAAATGTAGCTGAAAGCTAGCCTAAAGTTAGAAATCGCAAGCTAAAAACTAAAAATAGCAAAAAGCTTTCACTGTAGTAAAACACTAAAAGTAGAAAATACCTAAAAGATAAAAATAAAATGGTAACAAAATGTAGCAAAATGCTACAAAAACTAAAAGTAGCAGAACACTTCCTAAATATAGCAAAATGTCAGCTTAAAGTTAAAGGAAGGCTATGCTACCTTAAGTGTGAAATTCTAGCTACTAACAAAAATCTTAACTCTAACTAGCCATAGCACTTTTTTGTTACTTTTAGCTTAGCATTGCTACTTTTAGCTACAGTTTTCTTACTTTTAGCTCTTATGTATTTAGCTTTTGGCCTGCTGTTTTAGCTTCAAGCTTCTTCAGCAGGTTTCAGCGTTCACACTGTGTTTTAGTCAAAAATGCAGATTTTTCTATTTTTACTTTGTTGCTTTAAAATTACAAATACATTTAAAATACTTAAATATTCTTTGTGGTACTTTTGTGTTTTTTCTGCTTGTTGTTTACATTCTTCCCTTGTCCTGGTTTTGGCCCGCGGGCCACCAACTGCTGATCCTGAATCCAAGGCCCTGATAACCTCGTGTGATTCTAACTTTATTTTCATTTCTGGCAACCTTCCTCATTGTTTATTTTTAAACAGAAACCTTAAAGAAGCAGATGTGATTGGCTGCACATGTTTGAGCCTGACAAAACCAGGCTCATCTTCCTAATATGGTCACTTCCGGGTTTTCTGCCAGCATCATTTGAAGTTTTAGTAAACCGGTTCGGCAAGAAAAACCCTGCTCCTCTTCAGACTGTTTGGATCAGGTAGTTCTTACAAATGAGAAATAAAACCAGAAGTCTCTTGGATGAAGAACAGAGTTTACCTGAAGCCACTGCAGCTTTTTAGATTTTATTTAATTTAATTCAGGGTAAATACAAATGAATCTTTGGTTCCCGTGTTGTCAACAATTCCTTGGAAAATCCGCTTCCCTTCGGAGAATCCTGACAGCCCCGCTGCTAAATGACAGACAAGCAGCTACATGTGAAGGGGGCGGGGCCAGAATGTTACCTGGAGCCCGACTGAGCGCTGATTGGCCCGGAGAGCCGTCAATCATGCTGGAGCGGCGCACCCTGCGGTCCAGACTCAGGTTTCGGTGTAAATGAGCACCGGGCGGCTCCGCTTCCTCTCCTTCCTGTGATAAACAGATTCGGGCCGAGAACAGAACCCAGGCCTGTTGGATCCATTAAAACCCTTCAGCATGGAGAAGATGATTTGGACCCTGGTTCTGCTGAGTGCAGGTGAGTTGCTTTATGGCACAAAATGTTTTTTTTTTTTTTTGTCTGTATTCAAATGGAGGAGCGACCACACCTGTCTGAACACCTTTACCTGTCCAAAGCAGGAACAAGCAAAGAACATGGCCTCTCTCTGTAAGCTTATTTATTTGATTTGTTCTTTAATTAACAAATACACTTTTATTTTCCAAAAAGCAACAGTTTAGAAAGTCCAAACAACATTAAAAGAATTACAAATTTCACAAAAGGATTTACATTTGGAATCTGGTTTTCATTTAAAACAAGTGATACCTTTTGTTAAACTTATTATTTAAACCAAAAACGGCAGGATATGAACACGTTTGGTAATACATTTTAATAAATATATCTACTACATCTGACCATCGTTGGAGACAGAAGTTAAATAAAGAACCATTTCTCTTTTCACAAAATGAATTCAGTCGATGGGATGAAAGAGGAACTGTGAATTTTGACTTCTTAAATGTATTCTATGAAAATGACTGGACTAGTTTGTATCAAGAACGTTAATGTGGTCATGGGAAAAGAAAGTCCTCCCTCTGTCAGTTTTTGGGGTTTTAGGATATTAAAATCTGATCTGGTCTTTACCAAGTTTTAAAATATTCAAATCTGAAATTAACAAAAAACACTGAACAGGTTCCACAGAGTCGTTATTCATTAAGCAAAAACTGGTTCCAGTCTTGCTGCTCCCACTGGACCTCAGAGGTTCAGGATCAGAAGCTGCTCATGAACTGATCCTCATCAGGGGGACCGCCTCTGATCTGGAGAGTTCAGGTGTGTGTTAATACAACACCAAGGTGGAAATACATCAGCAATGACCTCAGAGAAGCAGCTACTGCTGTCCTTCAATCCATGAAAGGTCAAAGGTCATTTCCAAACCATCTGGAGTCCATCTTTCAATAGAGAAAGATTATTCACATGTGGAAAACTTTTCAGACAGCTGACAGTCTTCACAGCAGATTCACCCTGAAGGTCAGACCATGCAGTGGCACTACAGGTCTCAGTCAGCAGGTCAAAGGTCATGGTCCATTCTTTCTAAAAACAACATGGCAGCTCGATTTAGGTTTGGAAAGTTTCATCTGAAGGAACCACAAGACTTCTGGACCAGAACCAGACCAGAGGACAGATGCTTACCCAGAATGCACTGCAGCAAACAGCTCCTCCCAGCTGTCAGCTCGGTGGTGGAAGGCTGATGGTTTGGGTCCTGTCAGTCACTGAGTGGACCAGAACTCCTCAGTAGACCAAAGAGTTCTGGAATCAAATGGGTCCATCTGTCCAACAGCTGAAGTTTGGACCAACTGGGTCCAACAGAACCATGATCCCAAATACAGCAGCTGATCTACAACAGAACGGGTCATAAAGAAGAGAACCAAGGTACTGCACTGCAACGGTCCAGTCGGAGTCCAGAACCTCAACTTGACTGAAACACTGTGGTGGACCTTCAGAGAGCTGAGCAGAACCCTTAATAGAAAGAAGAGTGGACCAGAACGCCTCCAGAACCATGAGAGACTGATAAGTCCTACAGAGAACCACAGAGGGTTCTGCTGCTGGAGGAGGTTCTGGATCAGGACCAGGAACTGGTTTCTATTTAATAAATTTAGTCTTGGTGGAATCTTGTGTGTTTTGTTCATCTGAATCATTTTAGACATTTTAGATAAAGACAAGATGAGTTTATCTTATCCTGAAACTGGGGAACTGAAAAACTGTGGACTTTCATAGCTACAGTTCTTTCTTTGTGCAGCTGAACCATTTGGAAGTCTTGAATAGTGCTGTTAACGAATAATTTTAATTTGCTCACAGTGTGGTCCGGTGTGGCGGCCATCACTGTGAACATCCCTCAGACTGTGTATGAGGTTGCCAGAGGCGACAACGTCACTCTGCCCTGCACGTTTACAACCACTGTAACCAGCCCTAAACTGGTCGTCGTCACATGGACCGCCCTGGCTCAAGTGGAAGGTGCTTTGGATGTAAGTACATATGTACCTACAGGATGCTTGTTTTTGTTTGTATTCCTCTAATGTAAATGTTTTCAACAGGACATTGTCCTCACTTATTATTATCCTGATGACGAGACCGACGTCCAAGATAATTATAAAGACCGGGCATCTCCGATTGTGGATCTGAAAACTGGGACAGCTAATCTGAAGCTGAACTCCGTCACTCTGAACGACAACAGAGAGTTTGAGTGTCAGGTCCAGATTCCTAAAGACCCCAAGGGCCAGACGGCTGACAAGGCACGGTTGTTAGTCCTAGGTAAGGCTTAGTTTTTCTCAAAGATTTTTTTGCTTTGAATGTTTGAAAAGAGTTGTGCCTAGGCCTGTCACGATAACAAATTTTGCTGGGCGATTAATTGTCTCAGAAATTATTGCGATAAACAATAATATTGTTTGAAATTTGACAATAATTAGTAATTGTCAAATTTAAGAAGAAATGTTGGTTAATTTTTGCGTGTGGTACCTTTTTTGACCACTGGATGGCAGTATAGTGGACTGTTTGAACCGAAGGATGGGTAGTGAGGGAGCGAGAAGCGTGTCTCTTAAGAAAAATGAGAGGGAGGCCCCTTGATGTTCCTGTTTTGTGGTTCTCAAAATGGCGGACGCTCAGTGTGGTTTGAGCTCTTTAGCATAGCATTTGCCTCACAAAGCTTTTAATAAAAAAATCGGTAAACAAGTTCTCAGCTTCTTTGTGCAGAGAAAAACAACTTTTTACACAAAAGTACAGGTTTCAACCGTGAATTTTGGAGCTTTGACAAGATGGAGTTTTTTTCCCGAGGTCGGCCTGTTAGCTTAGCTCGTAGCTTGGCTTCTCAGCTTAGCTGCTTTTAACAATCCAAAAACATGATTTTTGGATTGTTAAAACGGATTTTAAAATGAAAAGAAAAAGGGAGAGGTCAGTGAAGACTAAGAGCACCAGAGTTGATCCTTTTTTCATCCAGTGTCTTCATTAGGAAGAGAGGGACACGAAGAAACGATAAAGCCGATAAATGAAAATGAGGTTGATCATTTATCATGTGATTAATTGATTTATTGTTTATTGTGACAGGTCTAGTTGCGCCTGGTTTTCTGTTTGACACATTATCGGGTACAGTTACCAGTTTGAATGATTGTCGCCTCTGAAAAGCCGTAGTGGTCAGTGTTGGCGTGGAGCAAAAGCTCGAGATTAGAATGTCACGATTTCTAGTCGAGTTTAAAACTGTTCTGAAGCGGTGTCCAGTTGCAGCTGGCGCAGAATTTATGATGGAAGGTGTCCCCACCACTTTAAACCATGTTTGTGGCAGCAGTTTATAAAAACAGTTCTCCACATTTAAATCATATAAGACAATGGTGATTTACACAGAGCGATGCTATGCAGAGTTAAGCAAAGCTAAGCACCACCCAGTGATGTCACCAGCAGTGCTTTTCCTCCTCATATCTACCGTAAACAGTCTTTGACTCATGCTGTCAGTTTACAGCCAGTAACAGAGACTTTAACGTAAATGAAACCAAACCAGAACATGAAAATAACATCAATCCATCCATTATCGTTACAGCTTCTTCCTTTTCGGGTCACGGGGGGGTCACTGGTGCCCATGTCCAACTATCACTGCAAGAGAGGCAGGGGACACCTGGACAGGTCCCCAGTCCATCACAGGGACACAGAGATAAACGAGACAACCATTCACTCTCTCTCACACCTAGGGACAATTTAGAGTTACCTATCAGCCAAACCGTTTGGATTGCTATTTAGGGTTTTTTCTTAGTTGTATTGGCAGCCTTTGGTAAAATGTGTTTAATTAAAAAAATAGTACCAAAAAAATGGCATGGGATGTGACTTTTATTTACCAAATGAATATTCTAGTAAACTCGGTTTGTTCTGACATAAGAAATTTGAAAAACACTACAATTTTCTCAGGAAAATATTGAAATATAAACGGTTTACTTACCGGTAATTCCATTTTTAATGAGTTTGACCTCTTGAGTTCAAAGGTCACAGCTTTAGTGAGAAGGTCGGGCGTTGAAGCTTGAGGCCCGAAGACGTTCAGTAGAAATCAGACAAGAGAACAGCCACAAGACTGAGTTTGTGGCAAAAGGTTGTTAAAATATATTCTTGTCTTGTGAGATACAGTCTAGTCGATATGAATATAGAACCTGTGACTTGTTAAAAATAAACTGCTGTTTGTATAATTCTGTCATTTTTTGTTGAGAAACTGATTAATCTAAAAGAAAACAATCCATTATGTTTTTCCCAACCGTGGTCATGTAATGAACAGAGTAGTTGTCAACTAAATAAACTTATTTTCATGTCTTTCTCCTTTTTTAAGTGGCTCCTTCCCCACCCATCTGTAAGACCCAGGGAAAAGCAGAGTACGGCCAGAACATCAACCTCACCTGTGTTTCTGAGGAGGGTTCTCCTGCTCCAACCTACAAGTGGGCAGGTTATACTGTGGCTAACCAGCCTCGTGTTCCAGACCCCAAAACCACCGACCGTAAGTCCTGGGATGCGTTGATCTTAGGAAATCATGACCAAAAAATGACCCTTTCTTTACTCAAATGTTTACAAATGAGGTTAAATGGAGAAACAGGCACTCTGTTCAACTTGGTATACAGGTTGGAGGTGTAAAATATATTTAATCAATGCTTCTCGTTATCTTTGCAGACATAAAACTCTGCATGAGTCTACAGTATGCAGGTTGTCAAGTTTCTGCTTTAATGCAAAAGTGTATTTTATGACCAGTTTGGAAGTAAAAAAAAAAAATCTGAGACCACTGTGATCAATAGAAATCCACCTATATCAAATATTACATGATCTTTGAGGCCCAGCAGTCCTGTTTAGTGCCAAATATTTAAATGAAGTGAAAAGTGTTATGTGTTGTCGTCATTGTACGATCCCATACAATGATGAAATTAGTTCTCTGCATTTAACCCATCACACCTGAGATGCACCCAGGTGGAGCAGTGGGCAGCCATAAGTGCCCGGGGAGCAATTGGGGATTAGGCGTCTCGGTCAATGACGTTGCAACATATGTACATGGCGGGGAGTTGAACCTGTGACTTTCTGGTCCAAAGTTGGCTGCCCTTCCACTGTACCACAGCCTCCCCACCTGATCTTGCTCCATCTAGTGCTCGGATTTTGACTTGGGGATGCTCAACTACTACCACCAATTCTTTTCTCAATATCTCTAAAATTCTGAAAGTTTTATTAAAATCTGTCTGCAGTTCATGAGACGTTGTAACACCCAAATGTATGCCAACATTATAGAAAACACAAAAATGGTCACAACGCGATTGGTTTTATAGAAACTGAGCAGAAAGTTTGTGTGATAGTAGCTGAGCATCATTCCCAACACATAATCTGAGTGCTAAGAGACCGCAGAAGGTCTTGCAGTATTTTGTGAGATTACATTGTCATTTCGCAACATAAATAAATGATCTTAAATTTAAATTCCGATATGAAAGGTGGCAGCAAGAAATGTTTCTTTAAGGGATGCACTGCCTTTTTAATTTTTTTTAGTGCATTGGCAAATGCCTAAATATCTGCAATAAATTAAAACTTGTTTCTGCTTTAGTTTCTTTTAAGTTACGATTTTCATGCAATGTAAAAAGGAGCTCAACGTTTCTAGGGTACAGTAAGTGATTAACAAGGACGAGGATAGAAAAACCTGTTTCTATAAAGTGCTGTTTCTGTCCTCTGCATCACAAACATGCTGTACATGTAAGAAAGAACGAGTTACTCCGTATGACTGACTGACTCCTTGATTTTCAGAGGGGGGAATCCTGTCTTTATTCAACATCACCAAAGATACCTCGGGATTCTACATCTGCACGTCCAGCAACAAGATTCGTTCTGCTACCTGCAACTTCACCCTCTCAGTCATGCCACGTAAGAGGGACCTTACATCCTCATCTCTTAACTCATGTTTCATCTTAACTAATTTTTTATCTTATCCTTTTATCTCATTCTATAACTTATATACAACCTCGCCTCATGCCATATCTAATTACTTATTGTATTTTATCTCATGTCTCATTACAATTCTTACACCATCACATATCATATATCTCATATCCTAGTTCATCTTTTATATGATCTCATTTCACATATTAACTCGTGTTTAATCTTATATTCCATCTCATATTTTATTTTGTATCTTCTCATCCTATATATCCCATATTTTTTTCAATTTCATCACATCTTATTAATTACATTTATTTATTTACAATATTTATATATCATCCTGTATGAAGTTGCAATATCATATCTTCTCAGCACTTATCTTACCTCATCTTATGTATTGTCATGTTGTATCTAATTTCACATATTTTCTCATACCTCATCTTGTATCTCATCTCATTTTATATCTTGTTTCATCTCATGTATTGTCTAATTTCATTTATAATTTCTCATCTTATCACTTCCCATACTCCATTTTGTATCTGATCTCATCTCGTCACGTCTTCTCTCAAGTTTAATCACTTCTCGCAATCTCACCTGGTTTCATATTTCTTCTTATATTTCTCACATCTTATTTCATATCCCATCTTTCTCTCAAGTCATTGGCTCATGATAAAGCTGATTTTATTTCATAACTTATGCATCTCATAGCTTATCTAATTATCTTAGATCCCATATGATTGCATGTCTTGTTTATCTCATATATCTAGTTTCTTATCTCATCTTGTCTTATCTCATTTGTTTTTATCTCATATTGTGTAATCTCATATCTGTATCTAATTCCATATTTTTCTCATATTCCATCTTGTATTTAATCTCTCATCCTGTATTGTTTAATCCTATATCGTCTCTCATTTCTTATCTCATATTTTGTCTCATATCTTTGTTTCTTAGCATATATTGTCTCCTCTCATATTGTTTAATATCCTGTCTCATATCTAATCCCATATATTTTCTAGTATCTCATCCTGCATCATGTTTAATCTCCTATCATATCTAATTTCATATATCAAATCTAATCTCATCACATATCTAAATTCATGTCTTTGCACACATTTCAATCTTTTAACCTTATTTCATATTTTATTTGACATCTCATCTCACCATTTTATCACACATTCCATCTTGAATCTCACATCACATATTTGATTTCATATCTCATCCTGTATCTCATGTTATCTCATCTTCCTTCCACCCTGCAGCATCCATGATGAGCATAGGTTCCACCGCAGCAATTATTGGGGGAGTTGCTGCCGTTTTAATCTTCCTTGTTATAATCATCTACTGCTGTTGCTGCAAAAACAAGAAGAAGGATGCGATATACGAGATGGGGTAATTTATTTTCCTTTTTTCCTTCCAAACAGCATAAAAACACAGACGCAGACAAAAACAAATATCCAGTGTTGTGAGCCGAGTTTGTATCTGATTTGACCTGTTTTTATAAGGTTTAATGTCAAATAAACCTCTAGTTTTAGACTGTTTACTATTAGGGGGGGAGGCACTACCACACTGGAAGGAGTTATGGGGATTCAAATGATTTCCTGGTTCGAAACTAGGGTTAGCTTTAGATCACCATCCATTCTGGTTAGCTCAACAACACATGGAAACAGGAACCTGGCCTGTGTGAAACAGACCTAATAATCAATAACCCTGGGTTTTATCAATATCAAAAACCATCAGAAATATAAGCAATACATGTACATGTTTTATCATCATTACTATAGTAATATAAGTTCATAATCTAAATAGAATCAAGCTCATTATTTGAGTACTCTTAAATTTTCCTAATAGGGATGCATGATATTGGATTTTATGGCCAATATCCGATACCGATATTTTTTTATATACTTTCTTTGTCAGAACATAGCTCTCTTATTTAGGCTTATTTGCTACAAAAATTGTGCAACCGCTGTAAGAGCTGGTGACATATATTCAGTAACAGCCATATGATATGCATAGCCTTATATTAAATGAAAAGTGTTAAATGTTAGTTATTAGCATTAGTCACCTGCAATGCTGTCTCACTTGTGGAGGCTTGTTCCAGGTTCCTAGCTGCAGTGTGGGATCCTCTGCACTCCTGTGCATGAAGGACATCCTTTTTAAGTTCAAAGTTTTTGTCTATCCGTTGTGCCGTAAGACTAACCATGCTAACGGGGCTAACACTTGACGTCCAAATGTCTGTGGTAAAACTCACCTAAGTGTTATTGGCTATTAGCTTCTCAATGATGTCGGAAATTATGGCTTGTGTAAGGCTACGTCAAAAAAATATCTCTGACTGGGGACGATGTAGCGAGGCTCAACATGGTCCAAAAATCTTCAGAACCCAATATCCTCAACGAAAAAAACTGTTACACCGCCGACATTTTGACTTCTTCATCTCCGCCGTGATCAGATCAGGTAGGTGTGCGTGACGTCATCATGTTGTACTGGTGCTGCAAGCATCCTTGTCACTGGGTTGTCATACAAAAACAGCGTATTTTTATATCTGTTAATTATTTTTGATGGAATGGCCGATCGGCCAATACCGATACCATACCGATAATATTGTGCATCCCTAATTCTTTATATTAAAGGTCCTAATATTGCATCTTGACACACAATATAGCAATAGCATTTCACCATTCACTGTATATTCAATTTAAATGCTTCAATGTTAACACTAGGAGCTATTTACTTATTGCAAGAGGCTTATTTTCATTATCCAGATCAATACAAATGCAGGTGTTCAGAGTATAACGATACCATCAGTGACATTTAGCATGGAAAAGTATGAATGTTTGATATTTATTTTTTCTATAAGCACATTCAATTTAATGTAGCGATAGCACTGATTTATCACAGAGCCAAATCCAATAACCTGGAGGCTAGCGCTAACATGCTAGCTCCAGAAACAAACAAATTCACCAGTTCCCACTTTTAGAATACACGGTCGGCTGAAGGTTTTTTCACAACGGAGACATCTAAAGGTTGAGAGGCATATCAGTCAGAAATGGCACATAAGCATTAGATAAAGGGCTTTGAATGGCGTAAAGCTTACCTGCAGCAGCTAGCCTCTCTCACACACAGCCTGGTTGTGATTGTCCACGATCTGTTCTGGAAGCACGATCTGTACCTTGCATTCAGTCTGGTCGCAGGAGAGGTGCGCCCAGAATGGTCCTATTCTTTTGTATTGAAGACAAGTTGCTGCGCATGTACAACTTTTAACGAGAATCTTTGGGCAAAGATTTTTGCGCTCCTGGGCGGAAATGCTACACCAGACAACGTTGATGAAGGAAACAACTTTTCTCATCATTATGAAATCATTATCTTACACAACAACAACAAAAAATACAGTATATACATATATTTCAAAATATTTTTAGTTTTATGATTTCATTTTTATTTAAAAAATTTTTTATGTTGTATTCAAGGTAATGTGGTGAGTGAAGAGTGGTGGGGCGGCACCCTAGCGCCCTCTATTGTCCAGCTGCCACCGATGAAACCAAATACTTTGAGACCAATGTTTGCAGAGTGTTGGTGTTTCTGCGACCCAGATGCTTGACTGTAATTCACCTGCTTTTCAGAATTCATGAAGAGGAACACCATGACAAAGAGCCAGTTAATGGTGAAAGCCGCCACGGCAATGGGCAAGAGACCAACATTCGGCCAGACGAGGCAAAGGTTGATCTTAGCTACGACCGTCGCAAGGATTATGACGACCGCCGCAGTGACTACGATGATCGACGCAGTGATTACGACGACCGCCGCAGCGACAACACTGATCGCCGCAAGGATTACGACGACCGCCGCAGCGACTACGACGACCGCCGCAGCGACTACACTGACCGCCGCAAGGATTACGACGACCGCCGCAGTGACTACGACGACCGCCGCAGCGACTACGATGACCGGCGCAAGGATTACAATGACCGCCGCAGCGACTACGATGACCGCCGCAGCGACTACGACGACCGCCGCAGCGACTACGATGACCGCCGGAACAAATATGGTGACCGCCGTGAGCGCTACGATGACGAGGGACGCTACAATGATCGCAGAGACCCTCGCAGCGATAACCGGCCATGAAAAACCATAAGAGCCAACAAGGAGGGACCGCAGTGACTGAGACCATCAACATAATGTACGTTACATCGCCATAATCTTTTTTTTAAACCCAAATGATGCAAAGTTTTATCTTCTCATTGATCCTTTTGTTAGCTCAGGTAAATGAACTACTGCAACCAAGTTGCACAAAACCTTTTTTCTTTGTGGGGAAACAACTGTTTTTATTGAGTATTTTTGATAAATTACTGTAAAAACAGGGAGTAGAATGACATGAAAAAATATTCTGGGCGCCAACTGTTCTTATGGATTTATGAACGCCAAATTACGTTTTATCCTTAAATGCAAGATTGATGTTTTACATATACTAAGAGCTAAACAAACGTTTTTCAGATCACTGGGAGTTTTTAAAATATCCTACTATTTTCTATGATAAATGATCTGATCAGTTCCAACAGTAACATACATGATCATTTTTGTGCACGTTTGAAATTGACAGTGGAAAAACGATAAAATCAACCATAGATCTTTTTATTTTTTTATCATCTCTATTGCAGTCACAGAAATAAAAAGGCAACAGGCTTGATATTTTGAATTTTCGTAGTAACACCCAGAGTACAGAATGTTTTATTATTCGAATGATGTAACTTACTGTAGTTTTTGTTTGCTCACATTCCAGTTTGAGTGTAACGCAGTCAGACAGGAAGTGATCGTGTAAATAGATTTGTTAGTTTTTCACTCTAATTTTTAGTTTTTATTGTATTTTCCTTTACTTGCTGGCTGCTGCTGTGTATGATGGTATTTTTATTTTTTCAAACCTTCCTCCACAACAGACAAAACCTCTTGAGCAGTTCAGCTCTTTATATTTACTCCGATTGTTTTAAATTCAGAAGGACATTCTTGGTTTGAAATGCAAACATCCAAACAGGTTTCATGTTCTCTGTATCATTTTATCCTTTTTTATATATATATATATATATATATCTAAATAAAACCTGTCTTTTGCTTACTGCTGGGTTTGCTGCACCGCTGGTTTCTCCTGTTTTTCTTATCCATGTATTGCAAATAAAAGTAATGTTGTAAATCTTTGATCGGCACTTAATAAAGTTTTCTTGTAAAAACAGAGTTGTTTGTTTTGTATAAAGCAACGTATCTGAATGTGACCAGCAGGTGGCAGCACAGAGCCAGCCTGGTTTCAATTACTCTACAAAAAGTAAATGAAACCAAATTTACAAAAAGTTAAAGATGAAGACGTTTGGAAACGCGTTCCTGTGCAGATCCAACATACGTGTTTATTTGTGTGCTTTGTGTAAGATGGTTTCTGTCAAACTTTTATTTTTTGTTTTCATAAAGTCAGATTTTTAAAAATAAGTCGTATTCTGGAGTGAAAAATGTCATTATTTTACACCAAGACTCAAAAATTACTAAATTTGGTCTACTGTGGTTTGAGCCGGTCTTTAAAACATAATAGAAACATTAAAGGGGAGAGGTTTGAAAAGAGGAAGAAAAGGTTTCTCCACTTTAAAATATAAATAGAATAAGTTGGCAACAAAGACACAAAACTACTTTTATATCTGCTTGTGAGATGCAATAAAGATAAACAGATTAAACTATCAGAATAGGGCAAGAAAATGGAGTTAAAAAGTTAAAACGGTGGAAAAATGACTCGAGGTGCAAAAATAAAATGAAAACGATGAAAAGTACAGGACCGTCATTTCAGAGTGAATTTATAAAACTATAGCAATGTTTTATAAACATTGTAAACAAATGTTTAATTGTAAACATTATAAACGTTGAGGTCAACGAGGGTAGGAAAAATAGTTCTTTGCCGCAAAAGAATCATCATACTTTTTCAGATTCTCAGTGAATTTTGCATTATTTCTGATAAATATGACGAGTTCGATCAGTTTCTCTTCACTTCAGCCTCATTTGCCGTTTAATTTTACAAATGCCAACATTTGCCAACATTTTTAGTACTTACAGTACCTAAAATACAATTACTACTCAACCTGTCTACTTAAACAATATTCATAAAAAATAAAGAATTGCCTAAATAATTTAATTTAGAATGCAAAGGTTAACTTGAAAGCATTTATTCCAGTAGTTTTCCAGATTTGATGATGTGCCACTCTAAAATGCGGGTCTGCGCTCAATGTAAATAAAGCCTTTAGCTGAATCAAACCACGAGGAAGCTTGAGTCATGTTAGGAGGCCGTAGTCTGTGACGGTGAACAAAAGTAGACAAAAACTATCACTTCGGCTGTTTTTGTTGGTAAACAAGCACGTGATAGTTGGCTTCCGGTCACAAAATTCTAACTTTTGTACACACATCCGTACATGGATGGGAGAAAAATGTTATTTAAATAAACAGATCTGTCACTTTTAGAGGATTATTTACCTCGCTGAGGTCCAGACTCGACCCCCACATCCCCCCACCTTCCATTGTGTGCAGATTGGAGGAGCGTCTGTGCAACCTGCTGAGGCAAGTTACTGAGCATGTACGGAAGCTGTAATCACCGGGATTTCAAAATAAAACAAAAATGAATTGCAGTCACTATTGAGTCAGAGAGTCAGTTTCTTTGTCACTCACGCCACATGTGGTGGAACGAAATTGTGTACACAAGGTTCCAGTTACATCCAACAAAAGTATAAAATGTAAAAGAAAAACAGTAATAAGATCTAAGATACGAACTGTGAAAAACATTAACTAAAAATACGCTAATCACTAGTAGTACAAAAACAATACGCCGAACAGCAGCACGAACATGAGTCTGTGTGAGCACACATGAACACAGCAGCATGAAACAAATCAGCAGCATGATGTGATTCTTCACAGTGATTATTCTGGTATCTGGTTAGAGATTCATGAGTCTAACAGCTTCAGGGTAGAAGCTGTTCCTCAGTCTAGTGGTTCTAAACTTAATGCTCCTCAACCTCCTGCCTGAGGGGAGCGGGGCAAAAAGTGTGTGTGCTGCGTGAGTGGGGTCCTTCATGATGCAGGTGGCCCTCTTCCTGCATCTGGAGGTGTAGATGTCTGTGATGGTGGGGAGACTGACGCCACTCTCTGCAAAGCTTTTCTTTCTGCAGCTGTGCAGCCTCCATGCCACACGTTGATGCTGGAGCACAGGATGCTCTCCACTGCACACCTGTAGAAGGAGGTGAGGACTGAGCTTCCCAGACCAGCTCGTCTCAGCCGCCTGAGGAAGTAGAGTCTCTGATGAGCTTTCTTGAGTATGTCGTGCTATCCAGGGGAGGCCAAAATAGTTCATTTCATGCTTTCTGAAATTAAATTATATTATAAATGATTTTGAATATGTGATAATATATGTACTGTATATACATATATGGGCAGCACGGTGGCGCAACTGGTAGAGCTGCTGCCTCTCAGCGAGCAGGTCCTTGGTTCAAACCCCGGTCCAGGAGCCTTCTGGGTGGAGTTTGCATGTTCTCTCCGTGCATGCGTGGGTTTTCTCCGGGCACTCCGGTTTCCTCCCACAGACCAAAAACATGCATGTTAGGCTGATTGGTAACTCTAAATTGTCCCTAGGTGTGAATGGTCGTTTGTCTCTATGTGGCCCTGTGATGGACTTGCGACCCGTCCAGGGTGTACCCCGCCCCTCGCACAGTGATTGCTGGACATGGGCACCAGCGACCCCCGTGACCCAAAATGGAATAAACGGGTAAAGATAATGGATGGATGGATGGATATACATATATGAAGCATGCTAAAGGCTCCTGCAAGCACATTGCAGATGTTGGACACTGTCTATCACAGTGTGCTAAGTTTCATGTTTTCCGCACCGGGAGTTGAACGTCAATCTTCCGATCACAGGCCCACCTTCTCTAACCTCTGTGCACCACTCCCACAATGAGATGTTTAATGAGACTAACTTGTATAAATAAATGTTGAATGAATGAAAAAAATTATAAGTGCATCATGTTGACAAAAAAAAGAATAGTGTTTTCAGCTTTTGAATGAAATGTATAATCCATCCATCCATCCATTATCTTTATCCCTTTTCTTCCTTTTCAGGTTGTGGGGGTCACTGGTGCCCTTGTCTAGCCATCATTGTACGAGAGGTGGGTACACCCTAAAAGGCCTTTTCTTACTCTGCCCCAGGAACACCTTGCAAAAAGCTGTCCACTTTGACCTCTTTATGAGATTTTAAACAATTGGTAAATTCAATAGAAAAATCAAAGCAAACATGTTCCTGTTTTTAGTTTGTTTGTATTTTACCTTGTTTTATATGGCAACTTAATTTGATATTGTTTTATAACACTACTTTTTTTATATACTTTATTTGCATATTGTTGTTTATTGTTGTTGTACCTTATCTGTGGTTTGGTCTAAAACAGATTTCTCTTGAAAATGAATCCCCGTGACTAAATGAGACTAACCTGTATAAATAAAGATTGAATGAATTGACAGGTCAGTCGCAAGCCCATCACAGGTAAAGATTTTAAATTCATTCTGTTTATTAGCAATTATTAAGTAGGTGGATCAGCACATAAGTCAACATACTGTTCCATTATAAGCTATGAAATCATGTCCATTCCTCACAATAATTTTGTCGTCATGGTGATATTTTATTTTGAAAGTAATAACCGGAAATGGTGGGGTTTGATCCCTGCACACTTTGCGCTCGCGCTGCTTCTCGGGGCTCTGCGGTCTCGTTAGGAGCCAGTTAACTGTCTGCGCGAGCCCGAAGCGCGTTTCAGGGATGAGACGTAGAAGAAAACACGGAGGAGTTCGTCAAAAAATGTTGATAAAATTCACCTGCGGGATCCGGAAGTTGATTTTTACCGACACGAGTTGGATTTTTATCGCTTGTCTGGCAGGTAAGGGACGCAGAGGAGGGGGGAACAGGTTGTTAAAACTTTGGAGTAACGGTAAATTAGTGGTGAAGTTACTGACAAGCTAATGTGGCTAACTGCTAATATTTAATCATGTGTGATTAATTTGACTAGCTGTGGGGGATAGGGCTCATTTCAGACTGGGTCTGGAGTGTTGACCTCTTTCTGGAGACAGAATATCTTAAAAATAAAAATAACTAGTATAGTGGGCAAACATGTCCTCACAGAGCTTGCAAATATGAATAAAAACGATAAATGTGTCAAATTAACAGTTAGGGTTTGATTCGCAATTTAGCTTTTGAGAAAAGTTGGTTTGTTGTTTTCGTTCTTATTTTAGTGTCTGCTATATTAATTCAGAAGTTCACAGTTTTCAAGCTGTGTCAAATCAAACTTTATTTAAAAAACATTTTATACAGAATAAAACATAAAGGAGGACTGATAAACAACAACACAAACAAGATCCGTTAAAAGAAATGTTCTAAATGTATATAAATGCAAAAGACAAAGATTAATGAAACCAATACATTAAAAAGGGGAAAGAGAAAATTAAAGAAGTTGAAGTTAAAATAAAAGTTACGATTGTTTCCCTAAAACAATTAAAAGTACAGTAGTTGAGCTTGAGTACAATAAGAAATAGAATGATTATTGAGCTCAAATGATCAAAAACAGATAAAAGTATTTGTGTCAAACCTCAATGTTTTTATAGAGTTGCTGTTTGTTCTGCATAGTGTCAAATTATAAAGACCCATAATTAAAACAGCATTTTTACATATTTTTATGATTTAATTATTCTCACCTGATACCAAAAGCTGTAATGTTTTTGCTTGTGTGTGAAGGTTTGTTAGCAAAATATCTGAACCACTTAACAGATTTTATTGACACTCAACTGGATGTACATCTGAAGCTGATTAAACTTTTGGAGTCAACCTGATCCAAGATGGCTGCCATAGCTAATTGACATTAGCCTACACAAACATGGCTATGACTCAATCAATGAGCTAAATTTTGGTGCGTTAGTAGCTGAGAGTCATCCCTAACACACGCACAGAGAGCTCTAACACAACTTCTCACTATTGTATGACATCACTCATGATGCTGTTTAAAAGGTCAGACTGAAGCGGCTGTAACTCCGCCCTTTAAAGAGACTTTTGATAGACATTTACTTCATCTACAAATCAGGACTGTCAGAAAATTGTTGGCTGTTTTTTTTTTTTTTTTCCATTTTTAACAACACAGACTGGCCATATTATTTACGCCGCACTGCATTCTGGGTAAATGAAGTAGACAGGTGTGAGCTCCATCCAGCCTGAAGGTTAATTTTTGACAATGAGTGACATCAGATCTTTAATTTGAACCAGAGCACATCAACAGAGAGGAGAATGTAGAAAAGAGAGCCTGCAGCTGAAAATGATGAAGACTGAATGATGAAGAGGAGGGAGTCGGACAGAAGGGCTGCTGATGAGAGAGACGATGCTGCACAGAGCTCTGCTTTCTATCACAAGCTGCTCTCATGACAAACTTCAGGATTAAAATATATATAATGATGCAAACTGCGCAGTGTTTTAGTTTTTACAAACCAAATACTCTGTGCTGGTTAGGAGTACTCGGCTGAAGAAACAAGTTTGGGGAGGTGGTCATCTGTGGAGGCGGTCCTCTGAAGAGATGGTCCTCTGTGGAGATGGTCCTCTGTGGTGGTGGTCCAAAGTGGAGGTGATCCTCTGTGGAGGTGGTCCTCTGAGGAGGTGGTCTTCTATAAAGGGGTCTTCTCTCGTGGTGGTCCTCTGTGGAGGGTGTCCTCACAGAAAACTCATAAATCCAGGATAGACCCACAGCTTGGTGATTCTAAGAAGACCAGATATTTTTTGGATCTGTTCTTCTGGTCACAGTGATGCTTTTTAAAATGTATTAGTTTTATTTTGTTTAGGACAATCAGTTTTTAGCAGCTCACTATTAATTCCTTTATCTTTTTTTGCTTTCATTCATAAACTCACTTTTTTTTTTTTCAAACCTCTTAGATTATATGAGATTGAACAAAGGTACTGTAATACTAAAACTTTGTATTTTATTACTGTTTATCATTCTTTCTGTGTAGAAACATCTGTTGAAATATTTTCTGTTTTATCTCATTTATCTGTTTTTCACCTTTGAGAACAGTTTGTTCGTGTTCAGTTACAATGACAAAGTTTAACAATCAAAAGATCATTTTTCTTTCATTAGAACTGAGGATCCGTCGTACAGAGACATCTGGAGTTTTGTTTTTGGCTTCTGGTGTTTCAGCATCAGGAAGTTTATCCAAAGAACTGCAACAAATTCCCACAACCTTCCTATAGTCAGTGAAAGTAATTTTAGCCATTTAAGCTCTAAATCTTCATCATGTAGAAAAATAATGCTCCAAGTTGAGTTTAATTCACCTTAGAATAAACAAAAGTTTGTAAATATGAAGTGTTTCCATTCAAAACAAGCACAGTATCAATTTGTACACAAATTGTCTCTAAACAAGATTTTACTTTCTGGGTTTTTTTTTAGAACACATCAAGGCTTTCCCACCCAAAGAAAACTCATCTGGGTCCTTTCTTAGAAAACAGAACGAGACTGGCTTTGTTGAAGAACCTCACCCCTCCTCTCATGTCTCCCCATCAGGTTCAGATTATTCTGCCTCCCACCGAACACAGCAGTGTTTCTGGGTGTGTGTATTATTACTGCTGAGCCCGAGCTGCTGGTCCTCATGTGACCCGGAGCCTAATGTAGCACCAGAACAAGTCCAGTCAGGTTTCAGTTCGGACCCTTACATCATAGTTCTGTTATTCTTCCCAGAATGTTACTCTGATTTATTGATATACAAATTTCAAAATATGTCAAAGGGTTTGTCCTCACATGTTGATTAGTCTCTTGATGTTGGTTCAACGTTCAAGTTTCTTTATTGTCATTTGCATCACATGTGGTACATGAGGTGGAACGAAATTGTGTACTCAAGGTCCAGTTACATCAAAAAATAGCAAAAATATAAAGTATAAAAAAAGAAACGGTATACAAGGATCTAAGATATACGCTAAACAATAATAATGTAATGTAACATGGTGTATTAAACAGCAGCCTGAACATGAGTCTGTTGTGAGCAGATGGGTATGAATACAGCAGCTTAAAGGCAAAAATCAGCAGCATGGAGAATCAGCAGCACAGATAAAGTGACATATCACCAATAAAGTGTCTTTACAGTGATTTTCCTGATTAGGGATTCATGAGTCTCACAGCTTCAGGGTAGAAGCTGTTCCTCAGTCTAGTGGTTTTAGACTTAATGCTCCTCAACCTCCTGCCTGAGGGTAACGGGGCAAAAAATGTGTGTGCTGGGTGAGTGGGGTCCTTCATGACGCAGGTGACTCTCTTCCTGCATCTGGAGGTGTCTGTGATGGTGGGGAGGCTGACTCCAACAGTCTTCTGTGCAGCCTTCACCACTCTTCAAAGCTTCTCTCTCTCCAGCTGTGCAGCCTCCATGCCACATGTTGATGCTCGAGCACAGGATGCAAATGTTGGGAATTCCACCTTCCAATATCAACTGTAACAGAGGGATTGTGTAATTTACTCTATAATTTGAAATACAGTCAAGGAGTTTTTTTTTTTTTTATTCTTTTTAACTCAGCATTGTTTAAACTTTCTTATTCAACATCATCATTTTTACTGAATAATATTGTCCAATCTTGCATCATATTTTAAACTCTGCTGACGTTCACTCTGATCCTTATCGCTTCCTCCAGGTGTCCTCCCTCCGTCCTGCTCAGGCGTTCATGTATCTGTGAACGATGAGAAGAGGTACGCCATACCGTTCCAGTCGGTTGTTCTGCCTTGTCACTACTCCACCGTGTCCACCCAGACCGCCGTGGTGCAGTGGGTCTACAAGTCTTACTGTCGAGACCGTACAAGGGACTCCTTCAGCTTCCCTGACAGCTTGGGCCGTGGCCTGGGGGGAGGTGCGCTGCAGGGAAATGGAGCAATGGGAAGAGGCTACGAGACGGGACCGATGCCGAGCTACCTGGACTGCTCTGACAGCAGCCGGACCGTTCGAACCGTGGCCTCCATCTCTGGATCCTCAGTCACGCTGTCAGAGTTCTACAAAAACAGAGACATTTCCATCATCAATGGTAAGACGTCTGGCAACGTGTCTGTCCTTTCTTAAATCATGCAGCAGATAAATGACAGTCCAACAAATAAAATGCATCATCGTCATTATCATCATCATCTCACTGGGCTGTGAGAAGTTATCAAACATTAGTTCAGTTTAGTTAATTCTCCTGAATGTCTCAAGACTTTGGCACAAATTTCAACTCCATTGTGTGAGTCAGAGGTGTAGGGCAGCTGACTTGCGACCAGAAAGTCACAGGTTCAACTCCCTGTCATTCCCACATGTCATGGTGTCCATGAGCAAGACACCTAATCCCTATTTGCTCCTTGGGCACTTGCATAGCTGCCCACTGCTCCACCTGGGTGTATCCCAGATATGATGGGTTAAATGCAGAGAACCAATTTTGTCGTATGGGAACATACAATGACGACAACACATAGCACTTATTTTTTATTACTTATTATTCAGCCCTCTTGCTTGAGTTTGAAACATGTTGAGAAAATGTGTGTGACTTTTCTCTCAAAGTAGTCTGAGTCAATGTAGGCATCGCCAACTCATCTCAGACTTGTTTACAAATTTCATCTGTTCCAACAGTTGATTTGTATACTGAAAACACTTATTTTGAGTAAAACATATTCATCCAAAGTACTGCAAATCAAAAAACCTTCACCTTCTAGTGAAGCTACCACAGCGACCATTTTCAGCATATAGGCTTTATTTCTACTTGTTTGAGAAGTCAGTTTTGCACCGGGTCCAGATGCAGGACTAGTAAACATGTAAACGGTTTGTAAACATTCGATTCTGATTCAAATTTCACAAAAATAAGTCTTAATATACAGGTTTATGCAGTGCTTGGCTAAAATAGCAGTTTAGTGAGCCGCAAACCCCAAAATACTGTAAGCTGCTCTTTTTAGAAACTGACTGCTCAACACGTGGCTCGAAGGTCACCTTGTCACAAACACTCAGTTAGGCTCGTCACGATAACAAATTTTGCTGGGCAATTAATTGTCTCAGAAATGATTGTGATAAACGACAATATTGTTTAGAATAGAATAGAAACAGCCTTTATTTTCCCACGGATGGGAAATTCCAGTGTATCAGCAGCAACAGCAGCAACAGATAAAAAGATTTAAAGATTTCACACAAAAGTTAAACCATAAAAAAAGAAAATTAAAAACAAAGTTTTCAAGAAAAAAATCTGTTCCATTGTTGCCAAGCTGCTGAGACGAGCTGCCTGCTTGCACGGCGCCGGGAAAAAAAAAAAAAAAACAGTTTGGAGACTGTTTTAAATTAATGTAATGATAATGACAATGACATAATACTGCAAGTACATTCTTTCAAAGATCAATAAACTTTAATTTCAAAAGAACTCTTAACACTGGAACTGGAAAATAAACAAAATAACCAAAAACAAAAAAATGGACTCAGTCTCCGTTAACAAAAAATGCACTTGAATAAAAACTAAATGCAAAAAAACTAAAAAAAATAAAATAAAAACTACATTCAACCAAAACAGTATGGATTATGAAGTCTGTAAACTAAATTGCCCTTCAAAAAAATAATAACCATTAGTTTATATAGAGAAGACGGGCAAAACTGCCAGTTTTATAAACAAAAAGTGCAAACTAATAAAAGCACACTCCCATTTAAATAAGAGCAGATGCCTCAACAGTCCATAAGCAGATCTGGACTACTTTAGTCTGGCAGATTATGAGCAAGAAGTACAAACATGTTGAGTTTGTGTAGCTGCTCCTAGTTGCTACTGTTTTATGACAAATGCAACACACCGGCTCGCGAAGGTTCAGCAGTTCGTTTTGGTCATTCGGTTTGAATCCGAAGTGCTCCCACACTGCTGCTGTTGCGTTCGACTATGAAACCAGTTCCATTTTGTTTTGTTCCCCAATATCAGTTATTGTTTCTTTAAGTTGCTAACTCCTCACGGGGCTCTAATGCTGCAGAGGTACAAGATGATGCGCCTTGGCTACCTGACGTGAAAGTTCACTCCCCCCTTAGGAAATGAGAAAGGGAGGGGTCAGTGAAGAGCACCGGAGTTGAGCCTTTTGTCATCCTGTCTTCAGTAGAAAGAAAGACATGAAGAAACAATAAAGCCAATAAATAAAAATGATCAACCTCATTTTAATTTATCATGCGATTGATTTATTGTTTATCGCGACAGGCATACTCAGAGTTCAGTAAGACTGCAGCTGAAAATTTATGGATTTTCTCACAAATTTTTAACCGTTTTGTTGGATTACTGTATTTCTAGTCCCTCAACAGTCTTAGCTCAGTGAGACAGGGACTTGAGCCTTTGGTGAACATGTAAACACGCATTGGTTCTTCTGTTCTGAGTTTGATGTCACTGAAGGATTGTTTACAGGCCATTACTGTTCTTACATGTATGTGTGTAGTCTTGTTTGTTGGCTTTAGATTTATGGAGCTCTAACTCTTGGTGAAGAATCACCCTCCTCTTCACCAGCCAGAATCTCAGACAAAAGAAACATTTTTCACACCATCCTCTCATTCATCTTGACCTCCTGCCCATTGCTTCAAATGTACTTCAATGTCCCACTTTGAATTTTTGTTCTCTCAACATCCCACCGTTTAAACACTCGTGCCTTTCACCGTGAAGCTTAAGTTTTTTATTTATTTATTTCAGTCTCACTCCACCTCCTGTCCTGAAACAGTGTGATGTTGTACAAGGACAAAAAATAAAGTAAAGCTTTGTTGCCTCTGGAGACGACCAGTCATCCAAACCCATGTAATCCTGTTCTAGGTCACGGTGAGGCTGGAGTCCGTCTGAGCGTGCTCTGTGCGGGGGGCTCTGTTAATCACATGGCTAACCAGAGAAACTAGAGAAAATGTTACTGCATGAAAGTAACTGGTCATAGCTCGTCTCTCCTCTCCTTCCTTGGCTAAAAGGAAAAGGAAGAGAGTTACACAAAGCGTTTCCTGCCTGATGGTAGGTGTTAGCAGCCAACAATTGTCTTGTGGTTGTGTTTCTGTCCCAGCTAAATGTGAACTGTTTAAACTTCAGTCACACCAAATGACATTTAGCTGAAACTGTACTCCTATTTGTTCATGGGTGAGTAGTTTCATGTTTTATCCTGAACACACTTCATAGTGTATAAACCGACTGTGCTGCTTTTATTTCACCAGCAATTTAAATGACCAAATAACCGACCATATTTCTACTGTTAGTTGACTTAATTTTTATAATCCCTGATGAGCGTTGATGTCTGACTTTGATCGGAGCATTTGTTCAGGAAGGCTATAAAAGCATGTCCATGAGCTCAACCCAGTCCAACAATTGAAGGAGAGTTTTGTGACTCGGGCCTCAGCAGTGTTCGCCTCACTAGATGAATGATTTAGAAGCTGAAGTGAATGTAATCTTAGCAGTGAATTTTGTGAAGCCTTTTCAGAACTACACACTGGCTGCTTAATGCTTTTGATTTAAAGGTGAGATGATTGTAGATGTAATGAAACTAAAGCAATGCGTATCGTCCACCTCCTTGTATAATAGATCTTTAAACAAAGATTGCACACGAGCTCATAGATGTGTTGGGGACGACTATCAGAAACTACAACACCAAACTTTAGCTCAATATCTATGAAACGGACTCAGTTATCTATTTTTGTATTTGCTAAGGTCCGTTATCTAGGGCAGATTAAACCAGCCACTAGGGAGCACAAGCCAGTGTATCTCTTGTGCCGGTCTCAAGCCGAGTAAATGGTGAGGGTTGTTACAGGAAGGGCAATCGACGTAAAACACTTTTGCCAAAACTATAATGCGAGTTCATCAAAGCGAACACATACCAGATCAATCGAGGCCCGGCTAAACAATGACCGCACCCTGTGCTGTTGACAAACAGGGTGCTGGTGGAAATTGTGCTACTGTTAATCAAAGACCACGAGGAGGGAAACGTGTCAGGAGATAGAGGGATAAGAGGAAAGTCAAGAATGTAGGACTGAAGGTGGCAACACTAAATGTGGGGACAATGACAGGCAAAGGTAGCGAGCTGGCTGACACGATGCAGAGAAGGAAGGTAGATGTTTTATGTGTCCAAGAGACCAAGTGGAAGGGCAGCCAGGATCGCAGCATTGGAGCAGGGTTCAAACTATTTTATCATGGCGTGGATAGAAAGAGAAATGGGGTAGGGGTGATCATGAAGGAGGAGTTGGCAAAGAATGTAGTAGAGGTGAAAAGAGTGTCAGATAGGGTGATGTGTCTGAAGGTAGAAGTAGAAGGTCTGATGCTAAATGTTGTCAATGGTTACACTCCACAGGTTGGATGTGATGTGGAGGAGAAAGATACATTTTGGATAGATCTGGATGAAGTGATAGAGAGTATTCCCAGGGAGGAGAGAGTGGTGATCGGAACAGACCTGAGTGGACATGTTGGTGAAGGAAAAAGAGTGGATGAGGAAGTGATGGGTAGGTTTGGTGTCAAGGAAAGAACCCAGGAAGGACAGATGGTGGTGGATTTTACCAAGAGAATGGAAATGTATGTAGTCAACACTTGTTTCTAAAAGAGGGAGGAACATAGAGTGACCTAGAAGAGTGGAGGAAGGAGTACGCAGGTCGACAACATTCTGTGTAGAAGAGGAAACCTGAAGGAGATTGAAGACTGTAAGGTTGTGGCAGGGGAGAGCGTGGCCAGACAGCATTGGATGGTTGCGTGTAGAATGACTGTTGTAAAGAAGAGAAGTTGAGAAAATTGGTGGAAGTTGAGAAAAGAAGAATGTGGTGAGAAATTCAGAGAGGAGCTGTTGAAGAGTCTGGTTGGTAAGAAAGAGCTCCCAAATGACTGGACTACTACAGCACCAAGAAGAAATGTGACAATGATTCATCTTGACCATCTGTGGTTATCAAATTTGTAAATAAACAGCAGGAGGCAGCTGTAAAACTTTCAAAATTGAAATGACTAAAGTTTGACATAAATCTACACTGGTTTACAGTATATGCAGTAGATGCAACAACGCACAGTTTTACTGCAACATGTTTTAGCTACGGCAACTGTAAAAGGACAAACCCTACTAAGCAGCAACTACTCAGCTGAGTCTCTCAAAGTGGCAGCACAGATGAACAAGACTGATGTTGGACATTTGAAAATGGATTCAGAATCGTTCATGATCACAATTCCAAACATATATAGTTTATATGTTGTGAAAAGTTGTTTTTTCAAAGATGGAACTTGATTTATTTATTTTTCTTCTTGCAGCAGCAGACCTGCAGATAGGTGAGGTCCAGTGGGGAGATAGTGGAGTTTACTTCTGTAAGGTGATTATATCTGATGATCTGGAAGGACACAATGAAGCTTCAGTGGAGCTGCTGGTTCTTGGTAAGCTGCTCTCTTTGTTGGGTACTCTGATTATTAATAATATGTAGTAAGAAACAGCTTATGATCCAAACGCTTTTGAAAACAGCTTGTGTTTTTCTCTGACATCAATTTGAGCTTAAAGGCTTCTTTACTGTTGAAATAACTCGTTAATTATTCTGGTAAACAAGCTGAAGCAGTGGGTCATTGAGCCGCTGAGTCTAAAGTCACGTCAAGTCAAATTTATTTATATAGCGCATTTAAAACAGTAACTGTTATCAAAGTGCTAAGAGTCTAAAGATTAGAACCATCACAAACTTACAGATTACATACTGTTATTTTCATAGTTTTATCTCCCTATTTCATTTTATTACTGAGTGCAGAATCAAAAACGGCTTACAGTTAAATAAATTGTCTCAATAAAACGTTTTCTAAAGGAGCCCCTAATATCAGACATGTTGATCACCTACAATGTCACACATGACATTTATTGACTGATTTACAACAGATGGCGCCGTTTCATGGACAGTTGCTTAATCTGAATCATGGCAACTAGATTCACTTAAACCAGGACCTCACTGATCTTTACCGACTAGTTAACAAACGGTTTGTTCAAGAAAGTCTCAGAATTATGTAGAACCATTTCTCTTGGGAGCTGCAGAGGACTTGTTGCTTGAATTTAAATGTTTTTGAACATTTAATGATCAAAAACATTTTGGGAAAATGTTTCGCTCAAATTATTCACAGAGTTGTCAGGTGCGTCTCGAACCCTTCTCAATTTTGTCACGAGTGTCTGCCTATTTCAGACACCTCTCACTTTTATTGTGGGTTTCTCAAACTTGTCTTAAATTACTCTCAATGTTGTTGCAAGTGTCTCAAACTTAATTTTGTTGTTAGCATCTTGAACCCTTCTCAGATTTGTCACGGTCATCCTCCAACTCCTCTCAGTTTCGTTGTATGTCTCAAATTCACCTCAGTTAAGTTGTGTCTCACATCCACCATAATTTTCTTACTAGGATCTCAAACCCATCTCATTTTTGTTGCAGTGTCTTGAACCTGTCCTAAACCTTTTTCAATTAAGTTTCTGTATTTCTTGAGCAACAGAGCTGTAATTTGACATATTCAGAGATCATCTATGACAGAAAAGACTACTGCTCTGAATGTCCAGGTCCAACCACACCAGTGATGAAAAATAATTACTTAAAAACTGGTCAAAATCTTCACCAAAAAATGTATTCCATTAGATTAAATCATAAGCATGGGGGCGACTGCCAAAGTGGGTACAAAGCAGACGAGACGGGTAAAATGGGGGTACTGTACTCTTGGCACAAACTGTACCAAGAGTACAGTTTTAAAAGCTGTGCACACAAAAACAGGTCAGGATTTTTCAATTTTGGTCACACAAAACAGATCCGCATGGCCTGCTGGTCACAAACACTCAGAGTCAGTGAGACTGCAACAGAAAATTCATCAATCTGAGTGTCCAGCAGTCACGTCTGAAATGTGGTTTGTACACAGCTAAACAGTCTTCAGTGTTGTGTGTCCCTGTGTGTTGTAACTGTATCAGGGTTGTGTTTTAGGACACTGACAGTTGTGAGTTCAGTTGTAAATGTTACCATAGAAACTGCTGAGAAGCTTTGTGGCCTCTTGGTGCTTTAAAACTTTCAGTGGCTGAACTTTTGTTTAGCTGTGACTCAAGAAGCACAGAGGGACGTTCTGGTTCTCTGTAGATTTGTTGTTATCTGTTGTCGTTTGTCGCCGCCTCACTGCGACAATATAAACAGATAAAGATGAGGTCATTCAACAAGTGAGCGTGGCTTGATTCTGCTGCGTGAGTACAGCGTGGAACCTAAACATTGTTTCATAGCGTTCTCACAGCTAAAGTGAGGCTCTTGTGTTTCCACGACAACAGCTGAGGCCAAGTCTGGGGGTGTGGAAGGGTGGGTCCTTTGTCTTTTCAGCAAACAGCCTGACAGAAACGAAGACGGGGAAGATTTAATGATGTGGAGGAGGGACTGCTGAGCTCAGCGATACAAAAGCTGGAGAGTGATGTGAAACACCCAACTGCTGATGACCAAGTGTGCAGGGTTTTAGATTAGACTTCTAAAGCTGTTGTCATGTCGATATATTAACCTAAACAGAGATTTTAATGCAAATATGTTCACTTTACCGGTGTATCTTAAAATATTAGAATATTGTGAAAATGTTCAATACTTTTTTGTCAGTCATTTCAGAAAGTGAAACCCTTATTTTATATAGATTAATTACACACAGAGTGAAATATTTCAATCCTTCATTTCTTGTCATTTTGATGATTATGGCTTACAGATAATGAAAAAACAAAATTTATCGTCTCCGAAAAATTTAAATATTGGAAGAAGTTCAATATTGTAAACTCGTGGTGTCACACCCTGATCAGCTGATTAACTCCTGGACATGAGCTACAAATGTCTCATTCCTCAAGTCCAGCCACTCCTGAACCAGAGACAACGTCAGAAGCATCTTACCTGCTGAGGAGACAAAGAACTGGACTGTTGCTCAGTGGTCCAACGTCCTCTTTTCAGATTAAAGTAAATTTTCATGTAATTTATAAATCAAGGTCCCAGAGTCTGGAGGAAGAGTGGAGAGGTCCAGAATCCACGTTGTTGAGGTCTAGAGTGAAGTTTCCACGGTCTGATGGTTTGGGTCCATGTGATCTGCTGGTACTGGACTAGTCCACTGTGTTCTCTGATGTCCACAGTCAACGCAGCATCTAGCAGGACATTTTAGAGACTTTGTGCTTCTTTCTGCTGACGAGCTTTATGGAGATGCTGATTTCATTTTCCATCAGGACTCGACACCGGATCAAACTGACAAAGATACAAAAAGCTGGCTGTGGAATATTCTCTTTTACTGACTGACATTTTATTTTTTCATTATTTATAAACCATATTCATCAAGATTATGAGAAATAAAGACTTGAAATATTTCACTCTGTGTGTAATGAACTGTTCTTTTTAAATGTGCTTTATAAATAAATTTTACATGACTAATGAATCTATGTAACACATGAGTTTCACTTTATGAAATGAGTGACAAAAATATTGAACTTTTTCATGATATTCTTTTTGTTTTAGATGCATCTATAGTTTAGATAAAGACTGACTTGTTTTGATCTGGGAAGAGAAAGGGAGCAGTTTGGGAACGTTGTCTGATTTGGAAATAAGAGCATAAAAATATTTCCCAACATATTTGAGAGTAAACTGTAATAAATCGTCAGCCTGCAGGCGGTCTCTGGAGTCGGTACAAATTCCACATGTGAGCTGCTTTCAATTATTTAAGCAGGAGAGAAACTCAACAATAAAAGTCTGAAGTATTCTAAGGCAAACAATCTTTAAAGTTATTTCACTTTATATGTTGACTAAAATGATTTTATACACTTAAAAGGTTTATTTGTGTCTTTTAAATCTAGAAAAAAAAACAATTCTAGCCTTCCCTAAAGATTCAGAGTAAGGTATGTGCACTGTCAGCTGGAGTGGGACTGAAACGGTCCAGACTAGAGTCTGTTTCCTCCCTTTTTCCACAGGCGGCACTCATTTCCTTCTTTCTGACAATAACCACACGATGAACAATGAAACTTGTCTACCTGTTCATGTCACAGTCACTACTGGGTCTTGCACACCTCACAAAGCTCTGCTCACCTGGACTTGTGCACAAACAGTCAAGTATAATTTGTTGGTTTCTTTCAACGCTAATCAAAGAAACCCAGCTGATGTGACTGGATCCAGAAAGCTCCGGTGTTCTCTTGTCAGTCAGGACCTTTGGTTCTTGTCAACCTGCATTTTGGTGATTTCCTGTCTGTTTTTGTCAACAGTGGAGCCTCCTGGGCCTTTTTTCTATCCGATTCAAAATGTAGTCAGAAAAAGACGACCCTTGACTTTGGAGTTCAGCTTGAATGGTTTTGGAGGGTTTCCTCCATCATTTTTTGAATTACTGTCTATGTCTAATCAACCTGGGGTCGCATTTAATGGTCTTGTGGTCAGAGGAACTTGACGCAACTTGGAGATGGTCTGGTAGCCAAGATGGAGCTCTATAATCTTCCCCCTGAGCTCCTCTCACAGCTCTCTGCTCCAGGTTCAGTGAGGTGACCAGAACCGAACCACACGACCCAGAGGCTGTTTGTTCCATTTAAACAGGCTGAATCTGTGAGAGAAAACCTGAAGGCTCCTGAGATACTAATGAAGGTCGAACACTTAGTCTGAAACACATTTTTATCAAATAAACTACTTTTCTTTTGATACTTTTTGTTTATTCTGTCACATACTAAAAGTATGCAGATAAACACGAGGTGTTTAACTGAATCACTTTATGAAAAATGAAGCTTTGTTTCAGAGAAGCTGTGAGGGAACTGATTTATTTATGACTAAATGAAAACACATAATACACATTTTGACTTTCCATTCTTCACTCTAACATCTGACTCCTTTTTATTTGAATTTGTTCTACCAGAAAACATTTTAAGCATCGATTTAAAAGTCAAGAAGACTTTTAGTTGGAGGGTTTAACTGGTTGGGTCCATTCAAAATGCCACTTTTCACTGACAAGATTGACAAAGTTCATCAGAAGTCTCTGAACCTACAATGTGTGAAGTGTGCAGTTCTTCTTGTAACATTTTCCACAGTTTCTGTTTATGAAACAATCTATCCTTCAGACTGTTCTCTTATCAGACAAACATTTACACCCTTTGAAATCAGAAATCATTTGGCTTCATCCTTTGCTCTGAAATAGACTTTCACAGAGGAAAATGTTTCTTGTGCATGCTTCTGTTCACCTGTCAGCTCTAACTTCTTCTTATTGCCTTGTTTTTGTCTCGATTGTCTCTTCATGCATGCTGCTGCAGAAATAACCTCTGAATCGATCATTCCAGTTCAAACTGGCTTCATCCTCTCCTCTGGTCACCTCTGCTCTGTCTCTCTCCAGGTTTCTCAGCTGTGCCTGAAGATCTGCTTCCTGACTTTGATTTGAAGATTATGCCAGGTACAGTTGGGGCATAACGAGTTTTCCTTTTTCTTCGGCTTCCTTTCATTCACACTAACCCTGCTGTCTGGTCACGATGTGACCGAAGGAACTGCTGAATGATCACAAGAGTTTTCTCTGCAACTAATGTTTTAATTCTTTCACGCTGGGAAATCACTAGATAACAGACAAAAGGAGCAAAACTTTAAAACCACAAGTAGAACAATGCTAACTGAAAGCAAAGGCAGCAAATGACTAGCTGAAACTAAGGCAGCTGAAGGCTAGCTACAAGTTAAGGCAGCAAAAGGTTAGCTAAAAACTGAAAAGTAGCAAAGATTAGATGAGCCGCTCTTTGTCACTCCCACTAACATGAGCCGTTAGTAAACATCTATTATCTTCATTATAGTTATTTATGTCTGCGGTTAACGTGTCATCCCAGACAGTTAAAGGGAGGAAACTCTGGTCATGTCATCAGATTTAATCCCTTTGAAATAATCTGAGGTTTGAGGGATTGGATGAATGTTTTTAACTGTGTGGACATTCCTCCCAAAATATGTCCTAAAAAACCCAACTTGAACGTTTAAAATGTATTTATATGTCAGCAGTAAGTGTCACGTTAGTCAATGTTTTCACACTGACTCACACACATGCATGCACGCACAGAATTAAAATAACTGTGCGTGCATGCGTGGGTGTGTATGAGACTGTCATGTTTGTTGCAATCTAGATCACTTCACAAGAAATTTAGTTGTTCCAGACAAACCTTCAGTCTGAGAGATACACAAATTGTCCTTTTCCTTCCTGCAGCAAAGGCAGGTTTCCTGTGTGTGTGCATGCGTGCGTGTGTGTGTGTGTGCGTGCGTGTGTAAGAAACACTAATGTGACACTGCTGTGCGTTCAACGCTGGTGAAGTTTTCCTCTTCCTCTCCTTCTTCCTCCTCTGTTTTGTCCCACAGACAGATTCATGTAGTTTATCAGAAGCACTGATCTTTATCCTTTATTTCAATTCAGTTTATTTACACTTTATATTGTCGTATGTTGTTGCTCAGTAGTTTGACACCATCTGCAGGAGAAATGTTGCTTTATTTTAACATCTCAGAAATAAAGCAGTAGGCCAGCAGTTTCATCAGTTCAGTCTGGTGTCTTATTGTTTCATAATTTATAATTTCTCACAGTGTTTTGTTTCTCAGCCTCCTATTTTTACAGGAAGCACTAAAATAAGACGGTTCAACTCCCAAAGTCCTTCAAATTGCTCAGTCATGGAGCAAAATGTTCTTTCATGAAGATAAAAACTTTATCTTTGTCTTTTGTGTCAGAACAATTTGCTGAAAATGCCACAGTTTTTAATTATCAGGTTTTTATCTGTCTGGTAGTTGTTTTTATGTTTATTGTTTGTTTAAATGTGAGTCAGATTATATAGAACATTTTGTTTAAAACAAGAGCAAACATTTTTTATCAGCCTGTGAAACATTCATTTGAATAAATAATGTGACCATTCATTTGTTCATTTGTTATATTTCTGTGAATTTCCTTGTGTTGAAACAAACTCATAATTTCATCTCGTCTCGTCGTGTCGTGTCACTTTTTGACACTCGTGTGTTTTTAATAAATCAGATCATTGATGATGTTTTGAAATATTTACCATAACAATTCCCAACCAGAAATACACATGCACTCTGTCTTACTATGGCTGACTTTCATTCCTCTTCTTTCAAGTGCATACCTCCACCTCTCCAAGTTCTCTTCCATCTGGTCCTTGTTCTCACCAGGTGGAAGAGACTTTGGTGAGGTGGAGGTATGCGCTTAAAAGAAGAGGAATGAAAGCTTTACAGCTATTCATCGAATAAAACCAAGATCAAGTCTAGAAACTTGACATTAATTACAAATTAACAATTGAAAAAAGAGAATAAAAGCTGCACCCCAACAGAACAACCACGACTAACTGTGACTGATGATCGTACGGGAACAAAACTTTATTTTTAATCAAAATAAACCGTGAGTTGTGTTTGATTTTGTGTTTTTACAGAGTGGGTGTTTGTGGCAGCGGTGGTGCTTGGAAGTGTTTTATTCCTGCTGCTGGTCGGGGTTTGCTGGTGTCAGTGTTGTCCTCACTCCTGCTGCTGCTACGTCAGCTGCTGGTGCTGCCCCGACACATGCTGCTGCCCCCGACACTGTGAGTATAAACACCAGCGCAGGGTAAAAAAAACTGCATTCTGGAGTCTTTAAGTAAAATCATGTGTTTGTTTTTTAGTGTATGAAGCAGGTAAGGGTATAAAGACGGGCAGCTCCACCCCTCAGTCTCCAACCTACCCTCCGTACTTTGTTTCTGGACTTCCTGCCATGGTTCCTATAGCTCCACCATCACTGGTGGACAAAGTGTCTTCCCTTCCACCATCTGATGGCAGCCTGATCGCAGCAGGTGAGGTCTAACTCTTACATTTTAATTCTTGTTCAAATTAAAAAGCAGTGTTTGGGATTACAGTCTGACTCTGGACTCCCTACATTAGAATGGAATTAAACAAAAATCTGACGGATGGTCTAGAAAATTATTTTATTAAATTATTGTCTCATAGAAATTAGTATTACTGTCAAAAACACAATATTTGCTCACTAACCAGGAAATAAAAGTTCTCAGTGCCGATTTAAAGTTAATTTAACAGTTTCTGGTCATATCTTCTGATTTAAATTGGTTAGCTTTTGGACTAGAGTTGCATTAGTGTCCCAAAAATCCAAACCCCACTCGATCCAATGAATTAACAGTAATTACAGGTCCAACCCCCCCCCCCCCCCCCCGGACATTTTTAATTAAGCTTTGACTACTTATATAGTTATTAACGGTCGGCAGACGCGCACAGCTGAATAAAATAGAATAGAAATAGAATGGAAACAGCCTTTATTGTCCCGCGGATGGGAAATTCAAGTGTAACAGCAGCAACAGATAAAAAGATAAAAAGATTTCACACAAAAAGGGAGCAGAAGATCGAAGCTGAGGGGTGTTTGTCTTTTCATGGCCGTCAAAGAGCATTAAATCCCTGCTTCTGCCTGCATTCTGCATTATTCAGACATGGACCCTGCTCTGACATGTCGGATATTTTGTGATCTCACCTGTTTGGGTCGTCGGCCGCACTAATTCGCTGACTGCCGCGGCTGAATGAACGTCCATTTGGGCTGATGGATCACTGGCAGTAGTCCATCTAAAGCTTAACTGAACTTTTCATCTCTTTCAAGGCCGGTTAGCGCACGGCCAAATGGCCACGTGCGGCTGGTGATCGTATCAAGCCATGTTGCCATATAATTGAATCCTCAGCTGCGCGCGTCCGTTGATGCAATCAAAAGCCCGACACCGGCCCGGCCCGCATATTAAGCACATTATTATGGACCGGGTCGGGCGGTGCCAGGCTCTGGGTTCGGGTTAGAAATGAAAGCTCTATTTTGGACCCATTTTGGCAAAAATGGGTGTGGCCACCTAACTTTAACAACAGTTATCTCAAGAACTACTGGATTAATTTTCACAAACTTTCATTGGAAAGGTAATTTGATAAGGACTCCAAATCTGTCCTTATGCTTCTGATTTGAGTATGTTTGGGCCTATTGACCTTTGACCTATGACCCTGAAATTGACCTTGTGGATCACGTGGCCTTGAGATGAACTTTCCTGAAATTAAATCCCCCAACTTATTATCTAGAATATATAAAAGTTTCAAAGGGGTAATATTTTTTTGTTTTGGAACAATTTGAATTAAAAAAATACAAATCTGCAAAAATAAACCATGAGGCGTTTAACAAAGAGTCTTGTCAAACATTATACAAATATTATTATATAATTATATAACATATAGTTATTTATGACCAGTACTTTTATTTCAGCATAACAATTACATCTAAATATAGTATTTATTTTTAATATATGTCATTTAATTTCTGTAGTTCTTCACCAAACCCTCCCATCGGTGGAGCCCATAAACTTTGTTTCACTTCATCTGAGCTTTAGAAAAGTAAAACAAAAAGGTAGTTATTGTTCACGTTCCATCAGCGAGCGCGTGTCCCCAAACACCTGGACAGTAGCGTCGCTGTCTGATGACATCACTGATAGTTGGACGTTTCACAATGTGACTGTTCCAGTATCTCCAGTTCCCATGCCTGCTGTGTACTGCGTGCCTCCACCGCAGGATCACAACTCGCTCAGGATGCTGCAGTACGTAGAGAAACAGCTGGCTAACTTCAACCCATCCAGATCCATCAGCCAACAGTGTAAGCTTCAAAACCTCTGCAGCTGCTGATGCTGTCCTCACGTCTCCTAGTCTCATCTGGAGTTCTTATTTCTCTTGAGCTTGAGTCTGCATGCCGCTCTGCTCTCAGACTTTCTGGATTTCCTGTCGCTCGGGCGTGACACAGTAGCAGGTGTGCATGCCAGCTTACCTGATGGGAAACATTTGGTAGTAATACATACTGCCCAGTACATGGCACCTAGTACTTACAGAGTGTGTACCATTTGTACTGGTACACAACACTGTAAGTACCAGGTATGTACCCAGTAAGTACTGGGCTGTATTTTGCATTGGTACCAACTATTTTAACAAATCTTATTCCAGCTCTGTGGGTGATTTTCTTTTTCACTTTTCTCACTGGTTGTGTTTTATGTTGTGTGTGTGTGTGTGTGGGGGGGGGGGGGGGGGGGGTAGGCAGTTGTTTAGGCTGATTAATGTCAGCCATCTTGTTTTCTTTCCTTGTTTAGCCTGTAGCCCCTCTGAGGTGAGCTCCCTTCACACTGGAGAAAATGGTTTCCGCCAGACTTACCTGAGTGTCCAGAAGAACGCTCTACCTGCCATCCCTGACCAAGACTCTGGACCTGAACCACAGGGTTACCGTGAGAACCGTAGTCCAGAGCCACAGCGTCACCGCAACAAACTCTCATCACCTCATCGTTACTGTCACGACGCTGGCTCAGACCCCCGTGACCCCCAAGATGAGCCTCTGCTGCCACGCCGGTACAGCGACGACCCTCCATCTTCCTCTCAATCACACAGGAGGGGTCGAAACCAGCTGCAACAGAACTCCGATGAGGAGGACAAACACAAGCGGTACGGTTATTTACAAACAAACAAACAGATGAATTCATAGAGAACAACAGACCGTGAACTTCTGTGATGTTTACAGATGGAACCCTCGATCAGAACATCTGCACAGAAAGACCTACCGCTCCTCCGGAGAGACGGGCTCGCGGGATGAACTGGAGGAGTTTGCTGCTTCCAACAGGCAGAGAGGAGGAAGAGGAGCAGAGAGGAAGGAAGAGGAGCGGGTGGACTATGAGGTGGAGCTGCTGGAGTTCAGTCAATATCCGTCGTACAGAAACGGTCCTCCTCAGCATTATCACAGCAGCGATCATGAGCCTGAGGATGGCAGCGACCGTGAAGACACGTTCAGGCACAACATAAGCCCTTTGTCTTCCCCTAAAAGGAAGGGGGACACACGGGACAGGGGGGGCACTGTCCCACCTCCTCCCACCAGGAGTCCACCACCAGGTTCCTCTCGAGAAAAGGACTACGATCCCGCGTTCCTGGACAGCCTTCTGTATCGGAAGGCCCGGTTACGTGGAATCGGTCAGGGGAAGGGCGGGGCCTGGGCCGAGGAAGAGTCAGACACTCCGTCAAAAAAAAGCAGCAGGGAGTCCAGTCGGCACTGCGGCCACTCGCCTGCGAACAGGTCCGAGGCGCGCTCTGTGCCCCTGTCTGAGTCCGACAGAACCAGAACTGACCGGCCGTCACCGAGGCCGCTCCCAGCAAACAGCCGGTCGTCTCCGCCCTCTCAGTCCTCGTGCGATCGCAGAGAAGAACCCAGAGACAAGTCCCGCAAAGTGGTGCGTAACATTTGAATTTATTAAAAAAACTAAATGTGTCTCCGTCAGAGCAACTCATCGGTGCTAAATTAATGAAAAGGTGTTTAGAAAGTTTAAACTTTAAAAAGTGATTTAAATATTTACTACAATCTAGATCCAACTTAAACTTATTTATAGAATGACTTCTTATCTACTGTCTGATTATTTTTCATTCGTTCATTCAACCTTTATTATAAAAGTTATGTTCTGGAAAAAGATTTAAATTAATGTTTTTACTGTACTAAACAAATGCTGGTTTCTAAAGGTGTGCCTCAGAGCATGTCCAACGTCCCAAATGGGACATTTTCTTTAGTTTTGTCTAATGGGATCATTTCAGTCCATCAATCAATCAAATTATTTTTAAATTAAACTTAAACAAAAACGTTTTGCTGTGGTTAAGTGAAAAGTTTGTTTCTATTTCCAGCTGTTTCAGTTCATTTGGAAGCTCGTTTCATTCCGTTATCATTTAAAAAGAGAAGCCTGATTGTCCCTTTGCAGTTTTTTATTTTTAACAGCAGTTGTTGCATGTGGAGCAAAACAGTTGGAGGCATTTGACTAAACTAACAAATATACCTGCTGAGTCATATCATTGGTTCTCCTACCATCCAAGGAGGGCACCCCACCTTTCGAGCCTCTTCTTAATTAATCATATGTAATTTTCTTAGTGTCTTTGCTGGAAGAGTCCTCCCAGAGGCCCAAAAATCTGCTGAAGAACGTGACAGAACCTTGTTTGACAAAAATCTGCTGAAGAAGGTGACAGAACCTTGTTTGACAAAAATCTGCTGAAGAACGTGACAGAACCTTGTTTGACTGCTGAAATCAGAAATAAAGTTAGACTCTTTACGTTAACTCTAAACATGACTGAACCTCCTGCTGTCGGAAGCATATGCCAACATCTGCTGATGGAATGAGGGACTCCTGTACATATTCACGAGTGCCAGTGACACCCCCCCCCCCTCGAATTTTTTTAAAATAAATCTTTTTGTTTTTGCACACTGAGCTTCATGGGTTTGTTTTGACTGCATCAAACGGTACTTTTATCACAAACGATCCTCTGCAGCCGGAAGGTAAAATGGAACAAGAACACAAACTACAAACACCACATCTGTGGCTCCAAACCATGAGTCCACCAGTAATGATGGCTACATCTAAATTATTTACTTTTACTGTAACACACACTCACAATGCCCCAAGCAATATTTAATCTAATAAGCAAATATTTTCAATATGATGGTTGATGACTGAATCAATTAATAAACATACCTGAACTTTAACAACAAAATGTTTATATTTTATTCTGATCATGTTGCTGATGGCTTTTTAAATTATTTTTTCAAGCTCACTTTGCATCACCATAACTTTGCAACAGTTTGTGCAATCAGAAAAATTCCAAAAGTTTATGAAAGATGAGAAACGTCACTTTACATTCTATAAACTATGGGCCCAAATTCCAGTCATAAACATTTTATACTTGTAAATTCGTTTTGTAACCTTGTAAAATAAATTTGTGTTTTGTGCATGCGTAGATAGGAATTTGAGTGTAAAAATAATAATTACATGTTAAAAGTCTTTCTCATGCAGGTCTGTTTACAGATACAAATAAAATAAAAATAAAAACAGCATTTAGCTTGTCTTAGCATTAGCATGGTTTCAACACTATCTCATTATGTTATTAGAGCTCATCCACAAATCTTCAATACATAAAACTGTAGCAACAAAAACACAGAACTAAACACCGGAATCAAAAAGTACAAAAAAAAGTTTAAAATTATAGTTTCCTCATATGATTGGGGTGGCCAAAGGTTAATTTATGGAGGCCAAGGCCACCATCACCCCCCCCCCCCCCCCCCCGTTCTCCTCTACAATGTAACTCCTCTCCACTTGAATGTCTTGCACCAAAAACATTTAGGTTTACTTCATTCTCTGTTCCGTTCCAGCCCAGAAAAACACTAATCTCCAAAAATACAAACATTCACTCTTCAAACCCGTCAGAGACGGGGACATTGGCGTGGAAAACTCAGAGCTCAGATACAGATACAAGCTGTGGTTGTTTGAAATCAGCAGTTCATTCAAGGAAAGTCCAACTTCCTGTGACCCGGTTACACTCTGGATGATGGAGTCTGAGCCGGAGATCCAACCAGGACTGGGTTTTGCCCATTTCATAACTTAATACCATCTGTGTCTGTGTTGTATGTACCAGTACCAGAAGTCAGAACACTGTTTCTGATCGAGCCGCATGTTTTCTTGTATTTTTCTGTCTGAGTCATAAAAAGGATCCTTTATAGAATAATATGTTGTCAGCTGCCAGGCTTCAAGTGGTTCATGTTTAATGTAAATAATTTATTGATGCCACAGCGTGCTGTGCATCAGTTTGGACTGTGTGGTTCTGTAGAACCTCAGTAAGTCTTGTTGTTGTACCTTCGACAGGTCAGGTTCAGAAGATACCAGAATGAAAACTAGGTAGAAATATTATTTTCAACTCTCCTCCATAACAAATATAACTGGTTCCATCTTTATCAACGAACCCGGAGCAAAAACGGCTTCGACGTTTTTAAACTAAACAGATTTTTGACCCTGAAACATAAAACTAAAACTCTTTCATCAAATTAGCGTGGAAGAAACGTTGAAAAACGTTTTGCTCCAGGTTCAGCTTCACCACATTAACCCTGCAGTGTCCGTTTCCCCGTCTCACTGCAGCCTGTCTGTCTCTCTGCTCACTTTCACTTTGTCGTCCTCGACAGAACCCCCTCCTCAGCAGAGACTCTCTCATCGTCTGATCCACCTGAAGACTGGAGCCCTGGAGCAGAGAGACCCTGACACCCTGCAGGAACCGAAGGACCACTGAACGGACCCAGACTGAATTTGAGTCTGTGTGAGAAGAACAGAGGGCGGAGTCGACACAGCAACATCAGGATGTTCTCTGTGACCTGTCTGAGGGGCGGAGTCTCTGAGGGACGGAGCCTCTGAGGGGTGGGGTCACAGCAGCTACGTTCACCCTGCAGGTCCTAAAGTTCAGATCTGATGTTTCTGTGCGGTCGTTCTCATTAATATTTGAATGTGACCTCCATCAAACAGAACAGTCCACGGTCCTCGTGACGTGACGTGCACGCGGCTCGCCGTGCTTACAGAAGGCAATATGGAGGCTGCACACGGTTAGCGTGCGTGGATCGGTTCCGAAGTCGTAAATTCTTGTCTGACAGGATTGTTCGGTCCAGTGTTTAGATTAGATCTTGTCTCTTCTCACCTACTTCAACGTAGAATTGTCCTTCTGGAGTGGGAGCAATGAACTGGAAGATGTAACTTACTCAGCTATCGATCCGTCGCGTTAGCATCGATACGATCTTATGTCAACGTTTGCATCAGTTGTTGCTGTAGAGTCTCGGTCATCAGGACATGATGAATAAAAAATAATTAAAAATCAACCGGACTTCTGTTCTGAAGACGTCTGGAGTTCTGAATTAACGACGTTGGTATCAATACTTGGATCAATCCACGTCCGACCTCACTGATCAAATGAGACATGAGCGTTCAGACTGAGGTCACTGAAAAACATCAGAGTTCTGATTCAGAACCACAGATGAAGACCTGGGTCGGACTCAGACGTCATTAAACATCAGATTTTGAACCTTTGCCTGCAGTGTGAACGCAGCCGGAGTGACTGGATCACTCAGCGAGTCACGAAGATCTCTGCTGAACCAACACTAAACTAATGTGAATGGGTCGCCCGACCCGGACTGTCCCTCTCAGCAGAACCCCGGTGGTTCCCTCATGTGTCTCAAGAAAAAACCTCCGGAGTAGAAACTTCATGCTTCCAGAACAACGAAGCCGTTCTTCTCCATCTGCTGAGACACGGGAGGGAAAAACAATAGATGGTAAATAACAACAGTGTCTTTGTGAAGGAAACACTCTGCATCACACACACACACACACACACTCATCATCGTCATCATCATCATCTGACTGGGACGTTTAAACATGGACCTTACACACAACTAAACATAAATCAACATGTTTTATTAACAAACACTAACAGAGATTGTGTCATTTACTAAACTGTGAAAAAAAATTTACATTGTCCTGACGAGGAACCAGACTTTAATTTTATTTATTTAAAGAGCTTGTTTCTTCATTTTCACATTATTTTTATCTTAGCTCATGACGGTAATATTCATTTTCATGACTGAAGTCAAGAAATGAGTTTAAAAACGTAAAAAAATAAAATAAAAAGATCACGGAGCTGAAAGCTGAGGGGCGACCAGATCCTGAACTCTGTGTCAGCGTGGTGCTAACAGGACAAGATGGCCGCCCAAGGAGAACGTAGTGAAGGTGAAGAGTAAAACAACCGAACTCCCAATAAATCGGCTCTGACTCGCATCGTTTTCTGTTTTTAATCAGAAAACCTAAACGTTTAAAAATGATCTCATCAAGAAAAAGTTTCAAAATGCAACAATTTCAGTTGATTTGAATAAAATCCAGATTTTATTTACAGACGATGTGATGACGAGTTAGAAACACCGTGTCCAAGAGTTCTTTCACCGTCTGGATGTGCTTCCAGACACCCAGACGTCTGTGCACGTTGTGCACGCTGTCTGGGCACAGCTCGGTGTCCAAACTTACCTCCACCACGTCATGGTTTCCCGCCAAAAAGCAGACAAAGTTAAAAATTGCAACATGAGAGAACACATGTCACCCTCACAGGAAGTGTCAGGGATGACCCTCAGCTACCACCACGCTCTGTATCTGTAAACTGAACAGAGTTGAAGTCACTTTTGTTCGTCGAGGTTAATTGGCTGTGGCGGCCATCTTAAATCGTAATCCAACGTAGATTAGCATCTAGTGATGGTTTCATTAGAATCTGTACAGTGGTTCATGAGATTTTTTACTAACACAAATAAACGCAGACCAAACATGACTCGATTGTTTGTCTTTCATAGAAGCGAGCGATTTAAAAATAAATAAATGACCAGAAGCTGATGGAAATGTGAGGCATCTTCTGCTTGAACCGAGGTGCGCTCGGGGGCCACTGACTGAAAGATTTTATCGTTGCATAAATTAAATGTGTGGTGTAAAGTTTAGTTTTATTTTAAATGAACTCATGGGCGGGCCTCATGTGGCCCCCGGGACACCAGTTGAATGACCTGGTTACAAACCCTCGGCCCCTGAAAACAAAATGTTTAGTCTCAGCAGGTGGACTTTAAATGTAAAAACATTTAGTTTACAGGTTGATGTTAGAACTGAGGGATAAAATCATTAAATGTTCAGTTCTAACTTTGACCCGCTTCGAGCTTCACTTCTTTCTACATTTATAAAAACGACATTTCTAATTTTGTAGCATTTTAACTTTTTGTACTAAACACGACTGAAGACATTTAACGTGTTAAAGTCTGTTCACCGGAGAACTAAAACCTGCTGTTTATCTTTCTGTGTGAAATAATTATTTTATGAACGTTCAGTCTGACTTCTGAATATTTGTGTTTTTAACCAGATTACCCAGAATTCATTGTGTTTCTTTTAAATATACATTTAATTAAACCGCAGTGGGTCAGATAAAAAACACTCGTCACTGTTTGGTTTCTCTCCGTCTGGTTCTGACCCGTGTGTCGAAGCGATGACTCGTTGTTTTTCTGAAGACGGGTCTGTGCCGGAGTGACCCGGTCTTTTGTTGCTTGTTGGACCAGTGGAGCCCGACGTCACTCTGAGAAACACAACGATTGTCTTCTGACACAAAGAATCGAACGTTTTGTTTCTAAAGTTTGTTTTTAGTTCCTGATAAAGAACTCTGAGTCTCTGCTCTGGGTTTGAATGTTTCACTGCAGATTAATACATTTGTTTTCTACAAATAAAAACAGGTTTTATGGAATATTTTAATCTCCTTGGTGTGTTTTTATCTATCGTTTGTTCGCTGTGAGCAGCAGCTCCGGTTATTTACCGGATCATGACACGACGACAAACATGAACATAAAGTTTGAACTAATGAGGTCATAAATGTTTGACTTGGACCATCAAAGAAACATCTTCAGGTCCGAGAGTTCAAAATAAATCACGGAAAGTTAAAACGTTTGAAATTAAAAGAATGCTTTCAGTTAAGAATGGTTGTTAACGTAAATTTACAATAAAACAAAATCATTTTGTCTTGATTTTAATTCTGCAGTTTGAGTAAAAATGTTTGAATTTATTTATATTATTGTGATTAAAATACAGAAATTAATTTGTCTTCAATTTCAAATTCAAGTTTGAAATTACGATATTAAAGCTAAAATAATAGCTAAAAGCTAAAGGGAGCAAGCGCTAGCTAAACAATAAAAGAAGCAAAAGATAAGCCAAAACTCACAAAGACTAGCTAAATAACAGCAGCAGCTACAAATGAAACGGCAAAGGACAAGCTAGAAGAAGCAAAACAATGGCAGCTAAAAGTTTCAAAGGCTAACAAAGTCACCAAACACAAGATTAAACTTAATGTAGCAAAAGGTTAGCTAAAAGTTTCCAGTTACATCCATTCGTTAGTTAGCAGTTGTGCTTTTGTTAGCAACTGCTAAAAAAAGCTAAATGTACTTTGTCATATTTAGCTCTCACAAAGTTAGCTAAAGGTGGCTAAAGGATGGTAAATGTTGCATAAGACTAGTTAAAGTAGCACAAGGATAGTAGTAAAGAGCTGGTTAATGTATTAACCAGCTCTTTGTAGCAAAAAGCTAAATAAAATTATCAAAAGGATTTTTTTCTTTTTTTTTTAATCAAAAGGATATTACAGCTAAAGTTTAGCAAAAGCTAGCTAATGTAGGATTAGCTAAAAGCAAAAAATAACTAATTTTTTTAAACATAATTTTCTTCCATTTGTTGTTTTTTCTAATTTATATGCTTTCTTTTACGATTATCTACTGTTGTCATCATTCTTTGTTAAATCAGGACTCTCTTGTAAATGAGTCCTCGAGGCTCAATGAGACTAATCTGTATAAATAAAGGTTGAATTGAAGTTGAAAATGTAATTAAAAGCAGCAAAGAATTAGCCAAAATTAACAAGAAGCTAATTTTAAGCTAAAAAGCAGCACAAAAACGGAGAGCGTTTGAAGCAGATTTCAAAGAGAACTATGTTTTTGAAAAACTTAAAAATATAGTGTTTCTTTGGGAGATATTTGTAAATAAATAATTTGAAAAGACCTCCCTAATCCAGGTCCTGCACCTGAGACCTGCGTCCAGAACCAGAGGATGGATGGATGTTGGATGTCAGATGATGGGTATTGGATGATATACAGTATATAATGGATGGATGCTGGATGTCCAATGTTGGATGATGTTGGATGGTTGTTGGATGTCAGATGTTGGATGTCAAATGTTGGATGCTGAATGATGGATGTTGAATGTCAGTTGGATGATGTTAGATGATTTTAGATGATGGATGGATGTTGAATGTTGGATGATGCATGGATGCTGGATGTCAAATTGGATGTCAGATGATGGATGGATGTCAGATGTTGGGTATTGGATGTCAGATGATGGGTGTTAGATGTTGGATGATGGATTATGGACAGATGTTGGATATTGGATGTCAAATGTTGGATGATGGATGGATGTTTAGTGATGGATATCAGATGTTGGATGATGGATGGATGTTGAATGATGGAT